CCACCCTCCTAAAAAGGATCTGTGATGTCTCAGAAACTTGCTTGAGAGTGGGGCAAACAAACCCAAGGTGAAGGGTTTAGAATACTTGCTAATTGAAGATGAGTCAAAAACGAGAAACACAGATTTCCAACAGCTTCTGCAGCTGCGGCAACCCAAGCCTTGACCCCTAGACTGGCGTTCGTCTGCCTTGAAGCCAAGAAGATTCCAATTGCAGCTGACGCTCAGCTTGTAACCCAGTGGGTCTGGTCTTCCTATAAAGGAAAGACCAGATTTGGATTCTGCCCTTAGGTCTCACTGATTAACTGCCTGGAGTGTAGTTCTTTCTCTATATAAACGGAACTGCATAGTCTACAAATCCACTCAACTACTGTGAAGATAAAATAAGGGCTGGGCAGTGCCTAGAGTGGAGAGGTCATGAAGATGTGAAGACTTGCTCCAGCTCCTTCGAACAGCCACCTGGGTCCTTGGCAGGTGTCCTCACTCACCGGCTGGGTGTTTTGCAGTGTGATCAGTTGTTCTGAGCCACCAAGCACACTCAGGCTTGGAATGCTCTCTCTGGTTACTTAGTGCAGCCCTGGGTGCTGGGAAACCACAGAGGCAGATTTTTCTCTTCACTTCTGTGTGAGAAGCAGTACTCCCGTTCTGAGGGCCTGACCTCATAAATGAATTTACAATGAATACCAGCCACTCATTTTCCTGAATCATAATTGAAATGAAAATGTCCCAACTTCTGGTCTGCCAACATCATCTGATTCAGAAGTAAGTCCCTGTTGAGGCCAAATGACCTCAAAGGCCTGGTCTCCGATCTGAGTCCCGGGTTTGACGCAAATTCTTCTGCGCCCTCCATGTGAATATACACAACTACACAACAACGCTGCGGTTAAACTCATAGCCCAACAACAGCTGATTTCAGAACTCAGGCACTATAATAACTGTATATCTGCAGTCTTAGACGGAGGGGTTATGGGCGAGGAAAGCTATTCAAGTACCAATCTTCAGAGACTAAGAATTATGAGGAAGTTATTTTCTCCTCTAAAGGTCAGTACGTAAATTATGGTAACACAAAACATTGGTTGAGTAATAGATCACCAGACTTGCCCACTTAGAAACACTCCAGGGATATGTTCATTTCATGTAATTTGTAAGCAATCTTTCCCAACCAAGAAAAGTCCTACTTTTCCCTAACGATGCTTTACAACAAAATGCCAAACTAAAAGGGGAAGATAAAGAAAATGCCAGTGAGGAGATGCTACATCTCAATTTGACAGCCTAGGCAGAAGGAGAACACAGAATGTGCTACGGGCATACAAGAGTTTCCATCATTCACAAATATTTCCTGAGGCTCCAGTTGGAGCCAGGCATGTGTTAGATTCTGGTATCACAGACATAGACCTGCCTTTCACTGAACTTCCGATCTAATGCGGGCTGGGGGGAGGAGGGGTGTGGACAGGACACGATACTCCTATAAGTAAACAATTCAGGGTAATAAAAGTTTTGTAAGAGAGAAGAGGGTGCTACAAGAGGGCAGCTCAGACCTTCAGCAGAAGGCTCGTCTCAGAGAATACTCATATATGGAGGGTAAGAAGGAATTAGGACAAACCAAAATGAGGCCGGAGAGGGGCAGTATAAAGAGAGAACAATGCATACAAAGCCACAGAAGCAAGAGAGCACACAGCAGGTCAAGTTTTAAACAGCAGAGACATGACTGACGAGCACTTTGGAAAAATCATGCAGAGGAGCAAGACTGGTGGCAGAGACAGCAGTCGGGGGCCTGCTGCCAGGCAGATGATGGGACCTGAATACCACCAAGCAGTGTTCACTGAGCACTATCTTGGTCCAAGCACTTCATGAGCATTATCTTGCTAAATCTTCACAACCCTGAGAAGGAGGAACTGATAATCATTTTACAGATAAGACAACTGCTGATCTCTTCTTGTTTTCTTATTATCTGTATTATCCCCAATCTCCCCCCAACATCTAAAATGTATTTAATTTTATTTATTTATTGCCCAAGATCACACTGAGTAAAGGAACCCAGGCCCACTGCATTCACTACACTTCCCACAGTAATTTGCAAATTGGAGTCTCTGCTGGTCCTTCTCAGTCCCCTGTGCTGGTCCCTCATCTCACCAACCTCCAGACTGCCCTAGACTCAGTTCTGGGCCTCCTGTCTTGTCTGTCTACACCAATTTCGTTGCTGATCTCTGGTCCTGTGGTTTTAAATACCATGGATTCACTGATGACTCTCCGATGTCTATCTCTATCAGAGGTTTTTCTCATTAACTCCAGACACTTTGATCCAACCACCTACTCAACATCCCCATTTGGATGCCTAACAGCCATCTCAAACTTACCAGGTCCAAAAACTGGCTCCTTTCATTGTCTTCATCTCAGTTAATGGCAATTCTATTCTTCTGTTGTAGTTGCACAAGCCAAAGAGGCCAAAACCTTGGTATCATTCTTGACTTGTCTCTCTAGCAGCCTTTATCCAATCTATTAGGAAATCCTATTAATTCTTATCTTCAAAATACACCCAGAGGCCTTTTGAGTTTCCTTTGCTTGGCCCACTCCAAACTCTTTGGAGTGTACTTTCTCTTCTAATAATGGCCCTTGAGCCATTCTCTACTGCACAGGCTCGCTTCTGTTTCTTTGAAATGTATTTTTACTTCTAATAAACTGTCCTTTAAAGAAAAATAATACACCCAGAATCCAACTTGTTACAACCTTGCTACCACTCTAGTCTGGCCACCTTCATTTTGCCTAAGTTATTGCAAAAGCTCCTCCTTGGTCTCCCTCCTTCGCCCTTGTCCGTCCCTCTTTCAACTGATTCTCAATTGGTTCCCACTGCCGGAGTGATTAAGTTAAAGCTTGAGTCAGATCACTCCACTGCTCAAACCACTCCACTATCTCCTGGAAGCCCTCCACAGTGCTGGCTGCCTCTCCTGTCATACAGCCCTCACTCACTCTTCACCAGCCACACCGGCCTCCTTGCCATTTCTGGAAAAGACCAGTCCATCCCATGTTCAGGTCTCTGCACTTGCTGTACCCCTGCTTGGGAATGCTCTCCAGACACCTGTACGACTCACTCTCTCCTCAGTGAGTAACTCCATCTAACACTGTTCCCCTCTCCATCCCTCCCATTTACACACACCGACTAACACACTGTAGGTTTTGCTTAGTTACTTTCCGTCCCCTCTCCCTAGCCCCCAGCTGCAATAGGGCAAGGACTTTGTTTTGCTGACTACCATATCCCCAATACCTACAAAAATGCCAGGCATATGGCAGAACTCAATAAATATTTACTGAATGAAAGAATAAATAAATGAATTTTCTTCTTTACAGGATCTTCTCCATGTCAACCACACCAGGCAGCAATCATCAGAGACAAAGAAAATTTTGATAGAATTGAATTGGACACAGCTGACAAAGTATTAATAGGTTGATGGATTTAGTTTGAAGAATCGTTTACATTTGTTTTCTAATCAACAAAGGACAAGCAAAGAGTCTGAAACAATCTAAAAATATTTTTTAAAAACATTTTAGGAATTTTATTCTTATAACATTTTTTAAATTCATGTATTAAAATGTATACCAAGGCAAAAAAAATCATGTAAACTGTGTCATTAATACAAAACTAAGTTTTCAAAACATACAAGACACATACACTGTAAAAAAAAACATCTTTATATATACAAACTGCAATATAATTTCCAATTTAAAAAAAGGGGGGGAGGTGCTTAAAAAATACTCATCTACAAATTCAAACCAAAACCCTCCTCTTGACTACTTGAGCTGTCACAAAATTTGTAGCTTCTCTTCTTTCCTCATGTCACTTTGTTTTCTTCCCATTCTTCTTTTTATTTTTAAGACAAGGGTCAATCAAGCCTTTTTAAAAGCTGATGTCTGTTGTTTTAACAGTCAAGCGCTTTTAATTCTAAAAGTTAATACTTTATACTCTTGACCTATAAATGAGTTCCTAAACATTGTATGCAAATCAAATTATGATGTAGATACTCTAAGGAGAACGTACCATTTACAGAAATTTCTTTTATAAAATTCAGATTTCACTTCACATTTGTTTAAATCACAGTAAGCCTGTAAACCAGGTCCTCAACACATTATTTAAAAAAAAGCAAAAAGAAAACCTTAACAATGTAAAAGATTTTTATTCACTCTATTTATGGTTTCTTCAGATGCTAAAAACATCTGGAGTGGTCTATTCCCTCTACTAGTAAGCACCAACAACAGAAGCTGGCTCACTGCTTATCTATGTTAACACTAGTACCCATTTCACTTAGTCCCTGTTACAGCAACAAAAATTTTTCAATTTTGGGGTTTTTTTTAATATGAGAACCACATTTATTATTAATTTATCACCATTTCCCTCAACATTATATTTCAAAAAAAATGTTTAGATTTAAGCTGCAATTAAGGTTCCTAATCAGGAAGTCAAAAGCTAGTTATTAATGCTGATGTGCTTTTTTCCTTGTCAAATGCTATCTTTTCTGATTAACTTAGAGGGAGGGAGAGAGGGAGGAAAGGAGGGAAAGGAGATAAGGAGGGCAAAAAGGAGAAGGGAGATAAATTGGTTGGAGGGTTAAAAGTGACATCTTCCAGAGTCACGATAATTTCTGGTACTGCGTAGAAAACCACAGAGAATTCTCTTGAAATTCACTAAGAGAATAGCACTGATAATACTATTCATCTAAACGTAAAAGGAATTAAAAGAAAATAATCTTTTACTATATTTCTTAGAAAAATTCTGTTGTTAAAACTTATGATTAAAGTTGGCTCCCTCCCAATTATTCTGATTTACTAACAAGTAACAGTGGAGCAACTGCTTTAAATAAAAGAAAAAAGTGCAGATTAAGAAAGGTCGAGCTCAGGGCAGCCAGTTAGCTCAGGTGGTTAGAGCGCAGGCTCATAACACGAAGGTTGCTGGTTCGATCCCCACATGGGCCATGGATCTGCGCCCTCCACAACTAGACTGAAGACAACTACTTGACTTGGAGCTGTTGAGTCCTGGAAAAACACACCATTCCCCAATAAAATTTCTTTAAAAAAAAGAAAGAAAGGTCAAGTTCAGTCAAGTAAGAGGTCTAGTGTATAAAAAACCAGAACAAGCAGGATAGTGCCCAACTCAGAGGCTGACAACTAGAGTCTAGTTACAGCACTGGACTGCCATCAGCTAGTGAAAAAAAGGGAGACAAATAAAATCTGCTGTCTCCAGCACACATAATTTTTGCTTCATAGAAAAAACTTAAATTCTAAGACTCACTTATCTAGTGAATTAAAGAAAATGATGCAAACTGCGCACACACTCACAATATTTTTATAGCAAATTTAAGGGGTGCAAATAAGCTCCAAGACTGTATTTGGGAGAACTACACCCTCTTGGGGTGTGGCTCACAAAGCAGACCACTGCTACTCTGAGGCACGAACTGCATAATGACAGTATTAAATACACATTTCCTTCAAACTGTTCTCATTAATTATGGCAACCAATTTGAATGTATCATGAGATAATTTTACCAACAGTACAACAAGGTATGTATTTACTTTTTCATTTGCATCTTAAGTACAAACTGTTAACAATAATGATGATGATTATGAAAAACAAGATTAAAGGTGTGTTCATCTGGGAAAAAGCTACAATTAGTATTATTCATCCAACCACAAACAGTTCTGTAATGAATGCGATACTGCAAAACAATTCACAGCTTTATAAAAACTTGAAATACAGGGTTCATTATAATTTTTTCCAATTCAAAATTTAAAAGTGTTCAACTTACATAAATGCTTAGGTATTTTACTCTAATATCCGTAAAATATATAAAATACCAAGATTATCTACAGTCACATATGTTTTGAAGTCAGGAGACACATGTATTTTCTTAAGATTGGTTCCATTTGTGTAGAAGGTCTGTGAGGATTCCCCAGTGACAACATTCCACCACTGTTCAGAAAAAATAAAATTCTCATTAGATTGATAATTACACTGTGTGACAATCTGTAGTGCCAGCCAGATCCTTCAGCCTATCACCTCTCCACTCCCAAACAGCAGGAAAGAAGTCTCAGGTTTGATGCCAAATACAGAATTATCAGCCGGGTCAGCCTTTCCTGATTAACCCTGACCGTCTCGCAGCTCCCCTACCCCTCACCCCACTCAAGGCATGCTGGAGAAACGTGCAGCCTACGGACAGCTGCAGACACAAGGCTACTCGACGTCCTTTAGGCCATGGCTGGACTGAACTCGCCTGTGTGACTATCTTTCTCAGTGCAATGGACAGAAGAATGCCCTCTTCTCTAAAAAGGCCCCTTTGCAGATGCGGACTGGTGTCATGGCAGACACCGAGACTATGTGTAAGACGAGGTATGGGATAGAGGGTCCTCTCTACTGAACGCTCCCTTTCACTAGAAGTGATTCGAGAGCCCATGACCAAGTTTCTTTACAAAATACCCTATACATTTATCTGCTAAATAAATACTGAACATCTCAAATGGAGCAGATGCTCTGGCCAAGTCCTTCCTTTCCCCTCCCGATCACTGTAATTTGCTAAGACTATAACAGTATTCATATTCATTTGCCAAATGGAGAACATAAAGCCACCCAAATATCTCACAGCTAAAATGAGGGCAAAAGAGACAATGTACATGGACACCTTTTGAACAGGGCTCAGGTACATCAAGATTCTGAGTATTATGAATGCAATAATGGTGTCACTCATTTTGTATCTGTGGCAGTGCCTGGCACTCTCTGCCTTGCACACGTGACTGGGTCAATGACTCACATTCACCATCAGTAATAACAACTGCCAAAAGGACACCCCATGGACTTCAGTGAGCCCCACTAAAGCAACATGTACTGACTTGAAATTTTCCGGAACTGACAATTTTGCTTTGTAAAAGAGCAATGTAATCAAGACTACACAGGATACTCTACCTACTTGAGAGAAAACTCAGTTTTCAGTTGTAGGGGCAAATCATAGAGGTGGTAAGGCCCTTAGAGATCACCTAGTCCCGGGGTCATCAAACTGTGGCTCGCGAGCCACATGGCGGCTCTTTGGGTACATACATGTGGCTCTGAAGTAAAATTGAAAATGAAAATAAAACTATCATAGTTTCATTTATAAAATTTTTAAAGCACATTATTCACATAATGGTGATTTCATTTGTTTTATGGCTGTCGAATAATTTTTAAATTGTTGTGAGGGACAAGATTGGTTCTTCTGTCTCAAAAGTTTGCCGACCCCTGACCTAGTCAAACTGCCTATTTTACAAATAAGGAAACCGTGGTTCTGAGAGAAGAAAGGCCTTGTCACTGAGATGACACTGCTAACAAGTGGCAAGGGTTGAACAGTTTCTGGCTTCCTAATCTAGGGCTCCCAGTGCCTTCCCTCTATTAAAGCAGATCACTCTACTTGGAAACACTACACCAGCCATGAATTTGAACATGGACTAAAAAACAATGATATTAAAGTGGTAGCTAATACAGGGGACTTTTAGGGCAGTGAAACGATTCTTTATGGTGGACACATGTCATTACATGTTTCAAAATTCATATCATGTACACCACCAAGAGTGAGCCCTGCAGCAAACCTCAGGTGGCAATGGTGCAGCAATGACGCTTCATCAGCTGTAACAATGTCCCCCTCCAGTGGAGAATGTGGGGGCAGAGGGTGCACAGGAACTCTGTACTTCTGGCTCAGTTTTGCTGTGAGCCTAAAACTGCTCTAAGAAATAATATGAATTTTTAAAAAATGGCAGCTAACATTTATTCAGGGTAATGTGCTACTGTGTATGTATAAATGCTTTACACGGTTAATGCCTTTAACCCTCCCAACCCTATGAGATAGAAATTATTGTGCCAGTTTTACAGATGAGAAAATCGAGGCACAGAGATGTTAAACCATCTTGTAATCAGTAAGATTATTAACAAAGCTAATGAATAGCAGAGCCAGCCTCTGAACTCAGGCAGTCTGCCCCAAGGCTCACTCTCCTGACCATGACACTCTGCTACCTCTAAGTAATGGCCAACCTGCATTTATTGCCATGTCTTCATATTTCAAGTCAGCCTTTCTCCTCATGAGTATGAATTAATGTGGATTTCTCATCATTTTAACAGTATATACTCTGTGCATAGCACAGGTAAACAGCTAACTATATTATTTTTTAATTTACAAGTAGGAATAATTTTGAAAGTGAAGAGCTTTTTAGCTACTGAATATCAACTTTATCTCACTGACATTCAATTTATACAGCCTGGATTCTAAAGTAAACAGACTCAAAAGGCTTATTTTCTTGGACATTACAGCAGCTGTTCCTTTTCTATTTTTATTTGCTCTGTGCAAAAAAAAAAAAAAAAAAGCAATAATAATTTGCTCTGTGCTTTGGGTAGTCTCAACACGCTGGGTAGATGCAGGCTGGGCTATATCACAATCAGTTTACTATGCTGGTAATCAAACCAAAGGTAAGGATAGCCTGTCACTTAAATATACAGACTGAATATGTAGGCTCTTTAAGATGTACCCGCTACAGTACAGATATATATTCTGCTGCTCATTTCAAAGTTCTCCAAGAACTCTGAAAATTGATCACTGATTTCTATCACATATTGTAAGCCAGACTCAGGATTATGGGATAGCCTTCAATGGGGCCCAGAGCATCAAATGACACGGTCTCTAGAAGCTCAGTGTCAAAGCTGAGCAGCTAAAGTTTTCAGCAGTTAATACAGATCTAGATCCCCAGCTTCCAACACAAAAGCAACAATGCTGCTCTTCTATCAGGCTAAGAGTTCATCTTTATTCTAAAGGACAAGTAGTGATAGTCTCACGATTCCCTAAAAACTAAATAAAGATGTGCCCAAAAAAAGGTATAGGTTAAAGCAACGTTTTGTAAACAGCATTGTATTTTAAATGCTAACTTAAAGGGATCATAACATACGTCCTCTCATAGACCTAAAAACTGCCCTGTAATTTATCTTTTATATAAGCTAAATTTTTTTTTTAAAGATTTTTATTGGGGAATGGGGGGGATGGGAACAGCGCTGGGGAATTGGGGAAGGGGAAGGGAAAGGGGAAGGGTCTTCAGTCTAGTTGTGGAGGACGTTGCTTCACTGGCCCAAGTTGGCACCATCATTGCACTCTTCCCGGGCGAGGCAGATCAGTCGCCGGCTTCCGGACGGCCGCTCACTGGCTCACGCTGGCTGCTGGCTACACACGGTAGCCCATGGCAACCCACTGCCACAGGGGCTGCAGCCTACGCCGTCGCCGGCAACTCACGGCAGCCCAGCTCCAGGTTGAGCTGTTGTTTAGCATCTTAGCTGTGGAGGGCAGTGTCACTGGCCCTCATATGTGGGATCTGAACCGCGGCCCTCTGGCGTCCTAAGCCAGTTCTTAACCATCGCGCCACTCGGCCGGCCCTATAAGCTAAATTTTTATGTTGAGTAAAATTGCAATTACTTGGGCCCCCTACAACCAAAAACTTCGATTCATTCATTCAAGTATATCTGAACATCTATATACTGTGTTAGACAATCAGAATCATGTCCTACACTTGAATGTTTTCAGTAAGAAATAACAATATCATAAGGGCTAATTTATTAGCAACCTATTTTAAATGGTCAGTACAATATATAGTATCATCTTTAACTCCTATTCAAAGGCCTCACCTCAAGCATCCCCTTCCACAGAAAGCCTCTGCTAACTCCCAAAGGTAAAACTTTTCACTCCTTTGTGCCTGAGCTATACATCTGTGACCCAGAACCGTTCCTACACTCTAGAGATTTTGTTTACTGTCTGTTTCCCCGCCAGACTGTAAGCCACCTGAAGGCAAGAACCAAGTCTTCATCACTGTGCCACACAGCAGTGTCTTGGCACACAGAGGGCCCTTAACACATTCTTATTGAGTGGATGGGTAAACAGATGCACGCACCACAACACACTCAGCCTTGGCCTCAGTATTCACTCATAATAAATTTGTATAGGCCAGCTTACTAACTATGGAATTTTAGAAGTCACAACACTCTATGAACATCGGTTTCCTCATCTATAAACTAAGGATAATAAAATTTTGCCTCACAAAGCTGGTTAATGACGATGTAAATAAACCATTTTATAAACTATAAAGCAATATGCTAATGCTATTATTGTTATTATTACTACCACCACTACTACTAATACTTAAAGGAACTTTCACAAATATTTTCAAAGACTTTCAACCAAAATAGTTAACTAGTTAGGTAAAAATAAAATTAAGTGAAACACCCCCACTTTCTAGTCATTCTGATTATGAGACTTTGTACGGCAGTATGAGAGCCCTGGGTCGAGATCATCCCTAACACGGCCACCAAAACTTCCAAGAGATTGCAGCAAGCAGCCTGGCAGATCTCAATCTCATCACTACTGCAAAGTGGGGATAACAGTAATGGCGCTTCCACTTCACTGGGTCATATGAAGACCAACTGAGAAACAAGAAGTGACAGCTTAGAAAGTAGGATATAGGCTGTTCTTTTCATTCAGTCTTTGAGGAACCCTTACCTTAAGATAGCCTCCAGCAGAGACAAGCATTTTGCTATCTGGAGAAAAGCAGAGGTCGGTCACCCAGCCTCCGTGAGTGGCAGCTCCTTCTTCTACCGGAACCGGAGCACACAAGTGAAGAAGCTCGCCGTTTGAGACGTTCCATATCTACACAAGCGTGATACACAATTCATTCACAGGGTCACCCAGAAGTTTTATTTATTTATTTATATATATATATATATATATATATATAATCTGAAACGTATTTGGAAATCTCTCTTAAAAATGTAATTACAATTCAGTGATGCCTTAGGAATTTTTTTAGCTTGCATTCCACTCTATTCAAATTTTTAAAAATACACTAATACTTACAATATATATTTATTAATATACTCCAAAAAATAAAAGAATTTAGAGTAATTGATTAGAATACTGTGACTCTTTTCAATTAATAATAAGAGAATGATAGGAGAAGCAAGGAATAAACAAAAAGGCCTAACAAATAAACTACCTCAAAAAAAAAATTTGTGGTCCAGAATCTACCACCAAGAATGTTGACAGATGTCATTCAAACTCATAAAGTATATGTATTTTAAACGATAAGTCCCAGTAAGGTACATACACACACACACACACACACACACACACACACACACACACACATTATTTTACTAGACTCTTATAAATCCATACTTACAGAGGCTAATATTCCCATTTATTTCCACTGACACTTAATATCTGCGTACTACTCTAATTTTTCAAAGACCTGCACACCAAAATAAGAAAAATAAATGAAAGCATTAAAAAAAAATCAGGGGGCCAGCCAAGTGGCTCAGTTGGTTAAGAGCACAAGCTCTGAGCAACAGGGTCGCCGGTTTGATTCCCACATGGGCCAGTGAGCTATGCCCAAGCTGAGCTGCCACCGAGCTGCCAAGCTGGTGAGAGCACATGTTCCTACCAAGGTTGCCGGTTTCTACTCCCACATGGGATGGTGGGCTAGGCCCACCCGCAACTAAGAGAACACAGCACCTTGAGCCGAGCTGCCCTGAGCTGCCGATGGGCGGCCAGATGGCTCAGTGGTTAGAGCGTGCGCTCTTAGCAGCAAGGTTTGCGGTTCAACTCCCGCATGGGAAGGTGGGCTATGCCCACCACAACTAAGATTGAACACAGCACTTTGAGCTGAGCAGCCTTTGGGCTGCCGGATGGTGACTGGACTTGGAGCTGAGCTAGCTGCACCCTCCACAACTAAGATTGAAGGACAACAACTTGGCTGTTTCCCTTCCCCAATTCCCAACACTGTTCCTCTTCCCCAAGTCCTCCAATGAAATCTTAAAAAAAATAAATAAAAATCACCATTTGTAAATGTAACCCAAGAAAATCCAAGAGAATCAAATGGAAAAACTCATCTGAGAGAGTTCAGTAAGACAGCTAGATGTAAGATACACATAAAAATTGACAGCTTTTCTACATTTTGAAAAATCAGGTAGAAAAACAAAAAATTTTTTTAATGTACTGCAGAAAAAATTTTAAATAACACTCATTTAAAGAGGGGCAATTTTTCCTTCAGGGGTTTCTGAAAAATGAAACTCTCCCTCATAACCAGTAAAGGAGTCCTTTTGTCCAAAATGAGCACTTAGAGCGAAAGGACTGTTTCCAAAGCAGCCTGCCACTTCAGCTAACATGGCACTTAGGAGATGGCACAGAGGTTGCTCACTTAGTCCATACACAGCAGAATCTGAATTTTCCTGAAAAGCCTATCTGATAACACCTCTCTCTCTTTCTGCAAACTGCACACTCTCTCATTCTTCTGCATTATATACAGATCCCTTGAATTTTAAATCCTCCTTTGTAAAAAAGAAAAAGAACAAGGCTCTCCTCAAATATACTGGTTACCAAAGTGGCCATCCCCAATGCCTAAACTTTCCCCATCAACTGCCCAACGCTTCTAACATAACCAGAGGTAGGCAGTCCCATGAGGACTGCCACAATGCTGACTATCTAACGGGTACAGTGCTAAAGAGACCTTGTCTCTCAGGACTGGAAACAGCCGAATATGCAATTCATGTATAATCTAGATAATGATTTACAAAATTATTTTCCTCACATTCTGCCACTGAAGCCAACTTTTGGTTCAGATCCAAGAACTAAGATGACTCACTCTCAAGCTAACAGCAGAGAACCAACTGCAAATAACTAGGGCATGTGCCTCCTCATATATACAGGAAATACTTCCCTCTAAGTCTAAAATACAAATCTGGAACACAACGTGCACAAGAGACAGAACAAAGAATGCCTGGTCCAACCAGACCCGCAGGGACTGTGCTTCCCTGTCACATTTCCACAGGTCCCCAGAGTGGTGCAGAGGGCTTGCCCAAGCACTGCCGTCATGCCAGCAAGCACCTACCCGGATTTCTCCATTGTCATCGCCAGTCGCCAGCAGGGTGCTGTCCACAGAGAAGACCGAGCAGCGCACACAGCCTTTGTGGCCCCTCAGTTCATGCAGAGGTGAAAGGCATTCAAAACTCCAAATCTGAAGGAAATTAGGGCTGTTTAGGAATGGCAAATACATTCAAAATAAGCATCTGCAAACTCGGCCTTGAGTGTTAGTTAGCCGTCAATTCGATTGTTCTAACATGGAAGTTCTAACGTTCAACAGTTCATAACTTGCAAGAGAGGCCCCAGTTCCAACTTGTAACCTTCTTCCTTTTTTGAGTTTCGCTTTAATTACGCAAGTTAACTTCAGCTCAAGGATCAAAGTCCTTAAATTTAAATTTAGAAGGAATAACACTAAATCAGTTAAGACCAGTCTGTGGTGTGAATCAGACTTGAGTGTGAGTGCTGGCTCCACTGTTTACTAGTTCCTTGTGGCCTAAGACAACCCACAAAAGCTGTGTAGCTTCAGTTTCTGCATCTGTACGATGGGAACAATGGTACCTATAGGGTGAAGAAAATGAGATAATAGAGAGTGAAAATCCTAGCACAGGGCCAAACATATGGCAAGTGTTCTTTAAAGGTTAGTCACTATACTATCTTACGTCCTTGGCAGTCAAATGAAAGTTTTTTCCTTCCATATTCTCCCTCATGGTTCTGTCATCACCATTCAACAAGCATATACTGAAAACTACCATGTTCCCGGCACTGTGAGCTAAGAACTGGTGGTACAAAGATGAAATGGATACAGTCTGTCCTTGAAAAGTTTATAATTTAATCAGGAATACCAGCTTATGAATGGTTAAGTGAATAGTTATATGAAGTAAATGCTCTAATAAATATGAGTGCTACATAATGGGAACACTGAAGGTGAAGCAGCTAACCCTGCCTGAGGGCCAGGAAAGGGCTCACTGAAGAGCTGACACCAAATCGAGGTCTGGAAGAATGAGTCATAATGCTTCCAGGTAAAGAAGGAACAGAAGGTTGTGTCAGCCCCAGTTAACAGGATGCACAAAAGATGGAGCGAGAAGGAGCCTGGCACAGAGGGAACAATGTAGCAGAAAGAGATGGTGATGGGCTGACGAATTCAGCTTACAAACCATCAGGTCACAGAAGTGATTCAGACAGCAGTAGGGACAATAAACTGGCAGGCACAGGCCAGAGGCAGGTCCACCAATGAAGGAAGAAAGCCTGGTCTTCAGCGCAGGGACAAGGAGGAAAAGAAGGATCCAAGAGACATTGAGAAGTAATCAACAGAGCATTAAAGGCAAGACAGAGTCCCAGGCAATTCCAAGGTTTGTAGTTCGGAAAGATGCCATTAACAAAGATAAAGAAAAAAGAAGCGAAGGAGTATTCAAGGTCGCCAACCAGACAGCATCAATTTCACAGAAATGTGATTTTCTGAAGCATCAACTTACATCAATTATATAAAAACTTACTGTGGGTATGCAATTAAATGTAAACCCCTCCCAATGCTTTTTATTGCCTATCATATGCAGTAGGGATTACATCTGGTTAGTAACAGACAAAAAGTAATCAGTAAGGGAGAAATCAGAAGTCCTCAACATCATTCAATCTATTTGACACCAACTAAATGCCAATGGGCATCCTCCAAAATCTCACAAACTATAAGACAGATATGTAAACTGAAACTTATTACTGCGTTTTACACATCATTTGGGCTCATAATACATAACCAATACCAAAGTTTTACGCATGCACATTTCAACTGGCTGGCCTACCTTTGCAGTCTTGTCAGCAGAGGTAGATGAAAACTTGGTAGCATCAGAAGAAATATCACAAGAAAGTACCGTATGCTGGTGACAGACAAAGTCTTTTTCTAGTCTTCCAGTAACAATATTCCATACCTTCAAAGAAAAACTCAGGAGTTGACACTTTTAACGTTTAATATTTTGTACTATGAGCGTAATCAGCTAGAAGACATATCTATAAAACAAGAGCTTGAGCACACTGGTTGTTCCAGCCTCTTTAAGTGCTCTTCAGTACAAATGCTCATACTAAGTAGATGTAGGTGATTGTAGTAAAGTTAAAACAAGCAAGAGAAAACAGAAACTTAAAATTTTAAATAGTTAGTTATCATCTGTCTGCTTTTCGCTGTCACAATATAATCACTGCAACATTAAAATACATTTTTTTTAAAAGAAATTTGTGCTTCAACTTACCTTCGCCGTTCCATCAAATGACCAAGAAAGCAGTCTTGAACTTTTCAAGAGCCTAAAGTCTTTCACTGTTTCCTGATGGGCTTGCAGAAAGACATATTCCTCTGATTGCCAATTCCACACCTGAATGAATATTAAAGAATAAGTCTGTTATAACCATCTCCTCATGGTATCCCCCTGGAGAGGGGGGAGGATGCGCACACTTGTCTGAAGTCTTTTATCCTTGTGGCATTTTGGTAAAACAAAGAAGAGTACCAAGAAAGAATGTGGTGTCCCCATCTTACAGACAGAGAAGAGAAAACCTGGGGTTAATTAACTTGACTAGGGGCAAAATAAAATACTTTTTGCCCTAAATAAAATTTGTTTTCTTCAGTTGCTTAGAGAGCAGTTAACTATACCAGAAGATAGAGAAAAGCCACAATATGCTAGTGAGCCCACCATCTGATTAAATTTTCCAATTACATATTCACAGATTTCTAAACCTCACAAGCTAGGTAAGTCTGCAGATTCTAGCTCCACTAAAGCTACTGAATCACACTGGCCATACTGCTTGGGAAGGTCATCTGACCAGAGCAGCTTCAAACCAGGTCACGGAATTTCCGAGCTTCACAAGTCTTAGCTATCCATTAACGCAATCCTCAAAATGACGAAAGAGGTGATACAGTACATTATTTTTCACATGGAGTGCCAGGAAGAACTCCTCAAGCACAAAAGGAGAAGAAATTGAAATATAATGTGAGTAACTGGCACAAAATATGCCATACAAGTATATGTGAGACACATACGTAAACAAAAAGAATTTCATTTCTATGTCATGTCCATGTACAGAGCTCTTAAATTACTATATCAAAGCAACTATATTTAGAGCTTTATTAATTCTTGACTTGAATTTAACAAATGTTTATTTAGCACCTATATGTGAGGCAAATATACAAAGATCTAGCATAAAGAAACCTGAGAGACTAGCAAAGAAAATGAGACATACTAAAAACAAAAACAACAACAAAACTCAATAATAGAAGCTATAACGGTAGAGAGAAAAGTTCTGTGGAACTCAAAAAAGAAATTCATTAGGAAGACTTGATGAAATGTATTTCAAGGTAGGCTTGAGGAATGGGCTGGAAGTACGATTCATAAACTGAGGAGGTCATTTCAAATACAGGGAATGAATGCTTGAGTTAAAGAATAAGAGCAGGAAAACATGGAAAGATTATAGGGAACTGATCAGAGTTCAAAATATGGCGAGAGTACAGGATATGCAAAAGGAACAATAGGAAAAAAAGCTTGGGAAGATATTTGACAGAACAGCCCAAGGGGCCCAATGAAGCTAGACTTCTGAGCTGTGGGCAATCAGTCTCCAACAGAATTTCTTCTATTTTGTAATATCAGTAATAAAAAAATAAAGACAAACCAGCCACCACCAAAGGTATGCACATTAGTAATAGTCTGGGTCTGGTTTTTCACTGGCAAAGGTTAAACAGCAGAAATGTCTTGAAGGTTATTTCCTATCAGGCTTAGGCAAAATTGTAAAAGAAATAACATCTCTCGGCCCCCTTTCTTTACTCCTTTATCCTCCACATTTAGCAGCCACCCTCCCCACTGAGTCCTGGCTCTCAGACTCTCTCCATCTCATCTGTCTCGGAGTGCTCATTCATAGAAGCACGATAGCAGGAGCAGGGTATCTTCTATGAGAGCGAGAGGAGTTGGAAGTGAGAATGACTTTAAGGAGAATGAATTAGGAAGTTCAATGTTTTAAGGACCCAGTGAGATATGCTGGGGGAAGGGAGAGAAAGAGAGGCTTTTCTGGCTCCCCAAATCATATCAGAAAGGAAAGGCACCTGTGCAACTAAACATAAAATACATTAGACCATCTCCCCTAGGAGCTTCCTGTTTCCCTCCCCCTCCTTTCAGGCTCTGCTGGACTAGAGGGTCAGTGGCTACTATTAACAACTCTTCCTGGTTGACTGGTACTGTCCTTCCCAGCTGTGTCTGAGTCAACGTTCACTCCTGACTTAGATCCATACTGCTGCCCTCCACAGCCTGAGCAGACACAACAAAGAATTTGACAATCGCTGAAGGTAGATCAAGATGCCCATAGCAGATTTTGTTGCAGAAGCTTTCTGATAAGGCAATGATGGCTGGGATACTTTTTTTTGTTGGACTCAAACATACTGTGCTAATGAATCAACTTATATAATAGCTAGCCTTCTATCAGCATTAGTCAATGTATTAAGGTTAAATTGTGGGTGTCTCTACCATTAGCTATAATTTTTGCAACGTATATACACCGTAGAATTTTTTTTCAGCTATATAGATAATTAAATTTTTTTTAAATGCTACAGAATCTTCCTATGCCTATAAGAATCATATATTCTCACACACTGGCCCAGGCAAACATGGTAACTCCTTGGCTTTATTCACCTCAATGTAAAGGATCAAAAACTACCAAGGCAGACTTCAATTTTCACAATTCTAAATGCTATAATCAGGCAAGTTGATTCTTCAAATGTTGGCAATAACTTTAGTTTAACTTTACAAAACCTGAACCCCTACTATATACTACAGGCACTGATGATACAAAGATGATTAAAATAAACCTCCAAAATGGTAACTATGTAAGGTGTGTGCAGACTTGTTAATTAACTTGACTGGAGTAATTATTTCACAGTGTACATAAATCATCACGTTGAATGCCTTACACATATACAATTTTGTCAGTTATACCTCAATAAAACTAGGGGAAGGAAACAAACCCAATTAATTATACTAAAACACCAAAAAATGAAAACAAAAACCCAACCAGTCAATTCTGGGAAATACCTACCAAGAGTTTTGTTACATAAATATATACTCATTAAAACATTTTAATTGTAAAACGTATTCTGAGTAAAACAGAAAAGGAGGATGAAACACAACTTAACTTATATTTCTAAAAATAACCAAACTCCGACCCTAAAAATATTCCTAGAAATTATTTCTCTCTCTGGCTGAAAATATCTGATCTTCAAGCAGGTCATAAAACCTATGAATTTAGCTTTTGACAAAAAGGCTATACAGTACATATTGTCTCAGCAGAATTTCATTGGATGTAATTTAGCTTTACCCATTTCAAAGCCACCTGGTAAGGAAGAAAAATGAATATTACACTGAGTTTCAGAGCTAACACAAGAGTACCCTGGGAGTCTATAATAAATAAGTTTCTGTATTGAAGCCAAATTTCATTCTAACCATAAAGGACTCACAAAGAGGTAACGTAAAGTTTTTTTCCAAAATAGCTTTTAATAGTATAAATTATTCTTATCATTAAATTATTAATATTGCCACCAAAAGACATAAACATATACACACACTAAATAAAAGAATATATAGTAACTTCCGTTGAAAATATGTACTAATCTTTCACTTCTAAAATCCTACTAAAATGACAAGGTCTAGAGAATGGGAAAGAAGATAACAAAATGTTGGAGGCTAGAACGCAAAAGAAAATAACTGACTTAGCAGAACCGAGAAAACAGACTCCTAAAAGCATTACAGAAAGACAAAAGCAATGAAATTGATACTCCAGAACTCGCAAAATGCTCAGAAATTTAGGTCACTAAGTCCATCCAAAGGTGGGAATGAGGGTGGGCCCAAGAACAGAAGTATTAGGAATTCTGGGAAGATGGCAGCAATGCAGGCATAGTTTTTTTTTTTTAATGCCCTGAAGCCTCCATTAAAAGCAGACACAGCAACTAAAACAGCAAAATTAAAAGTGCACAGACAACATTAACAACAAGACCATGTTACAAGACAAAGTATCCCCACAAACCCCAAGACGGGAGTGAGGGCAAACTGAGAGCTGCCAGACTTACACGGTAGTAACATCCATATAGGAAGCAGCAGAGTGAAGCATGGGGAATACCCACCTAAAAAGAGAAAAATCCCAAACGAGCCAAGTGCCATTCACTGACAAGCGCAGAGGACCAAAACAAGAGCTACAGAAACTGAGTGCAAGGTGAGACTGATGGTCTGGAAGGGCTGGCGCAGTCTGGGCCCTAGGAATTCTCAAAATTAGCCAGGACAATCCTACAAGGAGGAGAAACTGCTGGGAATAGAATCCAAATTGAGCAGAACTAGGATAATAGCAGCAAAGGAAAGAGGTCTAAATAAATTGAGGGAAGGGGACAAAACAAAGCGATCTTCAAAAGCACAAGGCCCTGTTTTTAGCGCTTCATGAAAACAACAGGAGGAGGAGCTGCAGAGCTGTGAAGCTGTACAGAAATGCTGTTGTTCCCCACTCCCTCAAGGAGTTCAGGAAAACTGACTTTGTGTAAAACAGAAAAAAATCGTCACTGCATCCCAAAGTTACTACGAGAAAAGAGAATAAAGTGCAGAACCATGCTCCTACAGACAATGGAAGCAAACAAGAAGAATCCCTAGAGTAAAGGGCGCCAGACAAACTGAGGGTAGGGTTCGAGTTGAGAGCAGGGATCCAGTGAAGGTTTACACACTAAACACTGAGTGAGACCCTACACCTACCCCCAATTTCCCCCCCGCTCAGCACTGAGAACCTTCAGCCATGTCTGACAAGACCAGGACAAAAGACAAAAAGACAAAGGCTCCCCATCCAAACGACCTTCCAGAGCTCTCAGTCAACACGCAGAGCTTTCAGTCAGCATTGTACTGCCAATCTCTGCTAGCGAATGATTACTACACAGATGAGGATGGTCTTTAAAATAAGAGACCAAAACAACCAGACAGAAAAAAACAACTTGGAGGGAAGAGCAACTATGCCAGAAAATTTAATTTTGAGAAAAAAAAATTATATAGATATCTACACATATATATGTATAATTTATATATTATTTATAGATCCATCCATCCTCAGAGAAATAAGAGAAGATATTTCCTCTATGAAACAAGAACACAATGCTCTTCAAAAGGATAAACTATAAGAATCAACTTTCCAGCATTAAAAATACAATGGTAGAAATAAAAAACTCAACAAAAGGGTTATAAGATAAAGCTGAGGAAATTCCCAGAAACTAGAGCACAGTATAAAAAGATGAAATGTAGACAAAGAAAACTAGAATCTTCCAGAAAGATTAGGGATCAGAACGGCTTCAGACTTCTCAACATGAGCTTTGGAACTTAGAAGAAAATGGAACAATGTCTTCAAAATTTTAGGCTAAAATAATTTCCAACTACATGCAAAGTTAGAATTTTCCTAAATTGCAGGGCCGGCCGAGTGGCTCAGTTGGTTAAGAGCTCGCTCAAGAGTGTGAGCTCTGAGCAACAGCGGTTCGAGTCCAGCCCGAGCTGAGCAGCCGCTGAGCTGCCAATAGGTAGCAGGATGGCTCAGCTAAAAAAAAAAAAGAATTTTCCTAAATTGCATTAAGGTAGGAAACACATTCATAGTACACTTAGTCTACTTATTCATAATAATGACACTAATGACCTAAAAAAAATTTTGTTATAATTACATTGATAATGGGGATTGATAAAAGGGTGTATGCACAAGTCGAAGGTAGGACAGGTGAAAGGAGAAAAAAAACTAAATTTTCACATAGGGAAGTCAGTAGATAAACCCTCAAATATGAAAATCAAGAATTAGCATTATAAGCATGCAATATGGGACATGAAGGTAAAGATCAAAAGAAACATCTAAAAGCTAAAAGTGGTGCTTCTGGAGAATAAGAAATGGGGGAGTCTATTTTTCATAACAAGCCTTATAATACTACTTGAGTCTATAAAGTATGTGCATTGGAACTTTGATAAAAATAAAGTAAATTTAAATAGAACATATAGTTTGCTTATGGCTTCTATATCCACAATCCTTCATGATGGTAAACTAGTCTTTTTTCACAGGATTTTATCCCTGCAATAAACATCTTATTCTTAAAAGGAAAGAAATTTCATTCAGATTTTACTACGATAAAGAAAAATAAAGATAAATCATATAAATGTGGCAAAAAGTATATTTATTGACACAAGTCCAAATACCAAGGCAGATGGGAGAATTCAAATGAATCCTTGATTGTCAAAGTAAACAATCTTCTAGTTCTAAGTCAAGCTGCCTGCCTCATCCACAGAAAAATATGAAACACAAATGGGTTTCATGTAAGCCCATGTGCATAGACTGAATGTACGCCCAAGGCAACATGATCTTAAAGAAATGGTTAAAATACACACGAGATCTGAACCATAGCCGACATGCTCCTCTGCTAGAGTCAGCATTATGTGTGTCAGGAGTTCATCCTCCTCTCACCTGAATTGTAGAATCATCAGAGCTTGAAATAAGAGTCTTCCCATCAGCTGTGAACTGGATGTGCCGTACAGTGTTCTTGTGCCCAGTCCTGGACTGGAAGATTCTGTTGTTTAGGAGTTCTAAAATCTTCAAAGTAGAAAATCACAGAAAATTAATACAAAGAAACTCAGCAACACCCAGGCATTATACCCCAAAGATATTAAATTAAAATTAGATTACAGAAGGGTACAGAATTTCCATCTCATAGTGCTAACAGTTTAAAGACACACAAATGAATGGTACACATACATACATGCACATCTATGCGTGCGCGCACACGCACACACACATACACACACACACACACCCTAAAATAAAACACTCACTGGAACAGACCACATGGCAGTGGGAACCAGCAGTCCTTCTGAGTACTCAATTCATCAGACAAGTGTTAGTCTGGGCTCAGCCTCCAAACAGAAAATGACATTTAAGACGGATGAGAGAAAAAAGAAAAAAACCCAGATGAGCAAGCTCTTTATAAAGCAACACAGAAACAAGGTAAGATAAAGAATGATGAGGGAGGCAGGTAAAGGAAAAGAGGATATGAGTAGGATGGAAGGCAGTGCACTGAGAAGACTTAAAAGGGCTAAAGACTAATCTGCCAAATGCAGAGATTAAGAAAGTGATAACAGAACTCAAAAAGGTTTTCAAATGAACTCATACCCTCCAAAAAGTAAGTATGGTTCCTTTGCCCAAATTAAAATATACTCAAGGAAGCCTAAAGAAAATACAGGGGTGACCGGTTAGCTCAGCTGGTTAGAGCGTGGTGCTGATAACACCAAGGTCACCGGTTCGATCTCCATGTGGACCACTGTGAGCTGTGCCCTCCTTAAAAGAGTCAACTATGCCATTGTAGCATGAAAGCAATGTGTAACCAATGGCTGTTCCCCAATAAATTTTTTTTTTAAATGTACAGATGATGCTAAAATAGGAGATTGCAGAAATGCAAACCAAATCTACATGTCTGAAAAAAGTCACCTCAAAAAGCAAAGGGGATTGTGTGAATGAAAGCCTTCCTGATGAGCAAGCTGGACAATTTCACAATTCCTATGGGAGGAGGGCAGGAAAGCATTAACAGTTGAGCACAGAGGCTCAAAGACACGGGTTTGAATCCTAGCTCTGTCACTTACTGACTTTACAAAAGTTGTGGAAACTAGGCGTTTAGACATCTGTAAAACAGGAATCATAATACCTAGTAAGATCCAGGATGTTACAATGATTCGATGAGAGCATCTGACACAGTAAAACGTCTAATAAATGGTAGCTGTTATTGTTATTTGAAGATCCTAGGCTGAACCACATAAAATTGCCATTTTATAAGTTAATTACAGTCAAATATTGGTAATTTCACACGTTATCTATATTATTTGATGACTTTGAGGGAGATAAGGATAAGACTGTTCCCCACCCCCAGGCAAGACAGAACGGCCCCCTATGATGCCTCTAACCCAGTCTCCACAGCCAAGTACCACCTCTTCCCCAAGTGACGGGTATGAATGAGGCACACGTGTGTTTTGTGAGTTATTTTTATAAACTATAAGGCTTATTTCGAGGTCCTTAGATAGTAAAAATGTAAAGAATTAGTGCTGGCTGGACAACAAGGTAAAAAGAAAAGGGAAACCAAGAATCCTTTAGAAATAAATTATAATATACAACAGTTTGAGAGATGAGACTGAGAGGGAATGTACAAGCATTCCTTGCTTAACAAACATCCACAATACATTTTTCCAGACTAGCACCCATATTCACAATTAATAAATAATGTTTCAGAATAATAATAAAAAATAATAACCAAAGCCTGCACTCTGAATCCATGCCACAATGCCTATGGCAAACATACAATAACACTGACGTCACTTTCCAAATGCTTTCTTCTTCACTTTGTATATAAACATATAGTCTCCTCTTTGTGGGGCAAGGTGGACTGGAGAATATTTGTGTAATTCCTTATGGAAATGAATCCAGAGTAAAACAAATATAGCTAGTGCCACAATTATTAAGGGATAATTCCAAAAAGCTTGGATGAGAAAAAGTGAGACAAGAAGCCAATGCTCTTCAAGAAACTAGTCTATAACTACAGAAAACATGCTTTTGTGATGAATTTCAATTGTGATGAAATCATTTTTATCCAAAATGATTTTAATATACGATCTTTTTTGTCTTATAACCTGATTTTATTTTCATTTATTTGGTCTTGTTTAATAAGTTAAGAATTTCAGGTGGTGAATAGGTGTACTTCTAATACCTAAAGCAGAACAGTAATAGTTAGTGAAACAGGTAAACCTGAGGGAACTCTCCACTCATACACTCATACTGCCAATGAATCTTACCAGTACCAAAATAGAAACAACTTACACCCTTACACCACTGAGATTCTAAGAAGAGAAAAAAAATGCTCTTTGCATAGTTAGCTGAATCTCTGATAGTATCTGATATACTTGGAGGACAACCAAACAACTAGGTAGAGAATAAGGAACACAAAAAGACAGAAGCTATGAGAAACAGTAGTGAAGGCAATCTGAAAAATATACAACCAACAGGATTGTATTTTTAGTCTAACAGAAGAATGACTAAGAGAAGACTTATTTAGTACATAAGGTTACTATGTCAGGCACATAATTAATTTTAAATAAATAAGGTGTACCGCACAGAATGACCTGAAGACCAGAAGTGAATACCTGAACGGCTCCTTCGTTGCCTCCAAATGCAACGAGCTGCAGACGTGGGTTGAAGCAACAGCAGCTAGCTTGCGCTTCAGTCAGATAATCGATCTGACCTGTTCTTCCATTAATGATCTAATGGAAAGTAAGGCACAATCAGTTATTAGGTTGTATGAACAGTTTTTGTTCTTTAGAACAGAGACCTCAATTGAAAAAAAACAATAATAATAAAACACAGAAAATAACCAACAAGAGCTCCCGGGAGAACAACAAACGCCTATCCTAGTCTCAGCAGCTGCATTTAGCACTTCACGCTTTCATTTCATTTCACTTTTGAGGCTCAAATACATTTCCATAAAATAAAACGAGCTTTAAATGGTTTAAAAAGCAGCTGCTATGCCCACCACCTGAGACACATCTGTCTGATTTGTAATCCCACAGCTACCTCCACACCCTGTTTTCCATTTCTTCACAAAGCCCATTTTAATAGGGCTGGCTATAGGTTGTAAAAATACACTTTTCTGATATTATTCAAGGGGGTTGGTGAAACAAGACTGAGACAGACATTACATAAAAAGACAAATTCAAATTAAAATGGGTTTTATATCCTCCAAATCACTCATGAAACAGTATAAATTAAGATTCCCTTTTCTTTTGGGAGGAGGGGACACTGGAGAAGAAGAACCCATGAGCATAATTTGGGGGGCTGGACTTGTAATGCTTAAACTAAGATGACCCAATTTCATAAAATGTACCAATGCTAATAATTATTTTTTTCAGTCCCACTAATAAAGATGCCTTATCACTCAACTAAAACATGGGACCTGGGTAAACATTTATCAAGCTTAAATCAATTGTCAGATACCTCTCTCTATGTGTTATAAAAGTCTTGAATTATTTTTCAACATGAAATAGGCTGTAATCTTTTTCAGGTATAAGATTATAGGGTCAGTCAATCGAGGTAGCTTTTTCTTTACAATATTTTACCCAACATGTTCTCATCTATCAGATGTTCCAAATAAAGACTGAACTACTAAAAGTTGACTATCTTCTCTCAAAAATCAATTTCCACATTTTTTTAAAGCAGTGACTAAAAAATGTTTTGTTCACTTAAATGGAGCTATTGTCAGTTTAACTATCCTCTAAACTCTCCCACAATCATTGACCTAGAATAAAATGATACTTTTATAGTCAGATGACTTCTTTTTGAAGTCTCACAGTTATGACAACTGTTAAAGAAAGGTTGCACAAATTTAATAAAGCAGGAGGACACTAAACTTGACAAGACAACTGCAGTGGAAAATATCACAAGTGGAAAAATCAGTGCAAAAATCAGTAAACAGGAATCCACATTCAATCCCACATCCCAATTCATTCCAGAAACACAGGGCATTCAGAGCTCCTTATCAACATATTATGGACAATAGTCAAACTTGTAAAATACAGAACAAGCCATATTTAGGTGTGTCTCACAGCTCGACTCTGACCCCGACAGTAGACAAGAAGAAATTACCCAACGCCATAGACAATTTACCCCAGATATCTGTCTCCTGAATTTGGATTCCATCTTGACCCTATAACCAGCTCACCAACTTTTGAAGATGAAAAGGACCTTATAGGCGAAGAACGTGAGGCTCAGAGAAGTGATGCAATTTACTCGAACTCACAGAACTAGCTGACGACAAAGCCAGGAATTGTACCTGGGTCTCCTGAGTGAACAGTCACTGTTCGCTCCACTACAACAAGGTGAGCTTTGCAGCTTTAGAACTTGTTAAGCTCTGCCCTACTCTCTGCCAGTCTGTCTCAAGCTCTTGCTAGCTCTCAACCCTCAATATGCGCGCTCCCTCTACTTCTCTATTCTGTTTCTCTCTTGGTTGTAGCTCAACTTTGCTGTCTCCTTTCATTCTCTCACACATTTCTTGCCCTCTATCTTTCAACAACCAAATCAAGAAAAATCACATGCAAAAATGGCATAAGATCACATTATCACTGCTAAAACCTTTCCCTAAAAATTAATTAGGCACTTCCACAAACCCATCCGGAAAAAAGGATTACTCGAGTTGTATTCGTGCTCTTAAAAAGCTAATGAAGGGCCTAACATAACAAGTAAACTTTCAGAAAATAGTTCACAAGATCATTAGCCCTCACCTATCACAGGGTTTCTGTTCTTCCCAATCCTATGCCTCTCTCAAGGAATCCTCAGGGCAAGGGGGAATGTCTCAGTGACTTACATACAAGCCATGCTGATCCCTGCCTTTCGTCTCTGGCTGCAGCTCTTGGCCAGTGACTCTCAGCCAGGAGTCACTGTCACTCAGCTCCGCATGCTGACACCTCGTGGAATGGGTACCCTACTCAGCTTTCTGCTTGGGCTGGCCAACATGAAAGCAGTATCTTGTGTTTGACCTTCCATGAGGTGTTTGCTCCCTCCTGCTGCCACTACCTAGCACGCTACCTCCACTTGCAGAACTTCTCTATCAGTTCAACACCAACTGCACTGGGCTTCCATGCAGATATTAATAACACGTTCTTTGGGCCCGTTAACACAGTGGTGCTAACCTGTTCTCGAGCCCCAATGATCCTTAAGGCATCTGCTCTCTGTTACCACTACTCAAAACTCCTAACTATCGATCTTCTGCCAGTGGACCCCTGGGGCTCCTTTCTTCTTCAGCAAGGCAAGAAATGCCTCTGGAGTACAACTGTTTGGATCCTAAATGATACAGTCCTTTTAATTTTATGTTATAACCCTTTCCCTCTCAGGGAATGTAAGAAGCATTCAAGAAATATTTCTTGAACAAATGTGTGAGTAAATGAATGAATGAACAGGTATACTTCAGTACGTAAAGTCCAGCTCTTTCCAACTCAGTTCCAATGGGTCAGAGTCCTTCCCACGTAAAGTGATTTTTGTTCTTTGAAAGACCGTTATCCTATCCCTGCAATAAATCTTCCATTGGTATGCCCTTTCCCCTTGCACACTCCAACAGACATGTTTAAATCACTACTGTGGACAAGTTCAAGGTTGTCCTCACGATATCCTAGACTCCAAGCAGGTCAAGGAATGTGCTCACAGATACCAACAGACAAGGAATGAGGTGAGACAAGGATCACCTTTTACCTCTAAATCCTAGCATATCTGAGCCTCAGCTCAAGACCCATATATTATAGTATTCAACTAATATCCACTGAGCATCTGTTAGATACTATACAATTGTACCTGATCCCAAGTCCAAAAACAAACAAGAAAAATTGTGAATTGTGAGTTCAATCAAAACAATTTTTTCAATTGTTTTCTAAAAAAATACTCACTTGCAGACGTCTTGTATTGTCAGCTGCAAGAACCATCACTTCATTTTCTTGAAATGCAACATCTATTTCTTGCTTTAGTACTATAGCAGAGTTCTCACATACTTTCTTTGTCTCCCAGAGCTGATTAAGAGATATAAAAAACTAAAATAAGATTAGTGTATCCTCTGAAATATTATAAAGACAAGTCCTAGTCTTGATGCAAGAAAACAAACCATGCTTCACACTCAAAATGCCTAGAGTGCCAGAAATTTTTCAATTATTAGATTATAATTCAACAATAAATATTTATTGATTACATGCTATACAAGAAGCAGTTAGTATTAAAATTAATGGGTGCTAGAGCCAAAATGCCTTAGTTATGAATTCTAGTTCTACCTGAAATTGTAACTTTGGGCAGGTTACTTAACCCTGTGCTACTCAAAGGTAAGGACCTCCTCCTGCTGGTTGCCAAACTGTCTGATACCTAGATAAGGAGCCTGTACCAGAATGTAAATCAACAAAACACCATACCCACTGTTAACAGTATTCATTTCTTTAACAACATTTTCTTGATGAAAGAAGCAGTGCATTGATTTACATTCTGGAACAGGCTTATTGAGATGGGTTCTTTAAGTAGCGCTAACTTAACCTTTCTGTGTCTGTTTCCTCAGCTGCAGAAAGAACTATAATGAGAATTAGCAAATGAATACATGTAGCACTTTGCACATCAGGCATACAGTAAATGCTAAATAAATTTTAGCTACAATTTGTACAAAACACTGTATTAGATGCTACAGGGACAAGCCAGGGTCCCTGGCCTCAGCGAGTTTATAATTTAAAATGTGTGAATAAGTCAGAGGAGCAGTAGAGCACTGGGGGTGAGTAGTAAATCAAGTCTATACCTAAATTCAAGGCAGAACTCGATAAGTACCATAAGAAAATGACAGTTATATGGCATTAAAGGAGAGACACTCCCCCCAAATGGAATACTAGGAAAGGCTTCCCAGAAGCCTCCCTCTGGGGTGCTTGCTTGCAGGATCATCAGGATTTTAACAAGGGAGGCATACGAGGAAGAAGGGTATTCCAAACATAAGAAACCAGAGAAGCAAAAGTACAGAGGCAGGGAACTACAGGGTGTTCGGGAAATGTGAGCAGTCTAGTGTAGGTTACCTGTAGAAATAAACTAGAAGACAGGCTGCAGCAGAATGAGGCCATACTGTGGAGAAGTTTAATGGTAAACTTAGGAGTACATTTTTACTGTAGTAGGCAAGGGAGACACTCTCTGTTTTTGAGCAAAAACGATATGACTGTAGTATGTACATGAGGAAAATATCTTGGAAGCAGCATGTAGAAAAACCAAGAAAGAAAAGGCTTGCGGCAGAAACTGATACAAGAGAGGCCACAGGTAATGAGCATCTAAACTTGAAATGGAAAAGTACAACAGAAATAAATGATAGACAATGGAAAGGTAGAATCCATTAGAATTGGTGAGTAACTGGATATGTGAATTCAAGGTACAGGAAAGAGTCAAAAATTACTCTGAGAAATCAAATGTAATATATTTAAATTAACCAAAATACAGTTTAATCATTGCACCTGGCTCACAGTAATACACTCAGTGAACACGTAGTGAATGAGACTGTACAGTCCATAAAACAGCACTTTTCAAGGATAAATGTGAATCTAGTAGTTTCCCGTTTTACTTCCCCCAATACTGCCCAACAATTTCTTAGTTTACAGGAGGTTTGGCTTACCATCAGTAAATGTTTAAAATGAAAATCTCAGTATTGCTCACCCTGATTGTCTGGTCATCAGAAGATGTCAAAAATGATGATCCATCAGGAGAAAACATCACACAATGAACCCAACTTAAATGTCCTCTGCAGTCAGCTACTTTTAGACAAGAGTCCATATTCCACAACTACAGAATAAACACAGCATATAGGAAATCACATTCATAAGCATCTATATACAAAATGACTTCTGCAGATTATTCATTGTATCATTATTTTTAATAGCAAAAAACTGGAAACCCAAATGACCATCAAAAGGAACAACTGAGGGCCGGCTGAGTGGCGCGATGGTTAAGAACTGGCTTGGGATGCCAGAGGGCCCCGGTTCGGATCCCACATATGAGGGCCAGTGACACTGCCCTCCACAGCTAAGATGCTGAACAACAGCTCAACCTGGAGCTGGGCTGCCGTGAGTCACCGGCAATGGCGTAGGCTGCAGCCCCTGTGGCAGTGGGTTGCCATGGGCTACCATGTGTAGCCAGCAGCCAGCAGCCACTGTGAGCGGCTGTCCAGAAGCCGGCGACTGATCTGCCTCGCCCGGGAAGAGTGCAATGATGGTGCCAAATTGGGCCAGTGAAGCAACATCCTCTACAACTAGACTGAAGAACAAAACAACAGCAACTTGTCTGTTCCCCTTCCCCCAATTCCCCAATAAAAATCTTAAAAAAAAAAAAAAAAAGGACCAACTGAATAACTATTTATCACATAATGGAAACTATGAGGCCATAAAAAGTAATGACAAAAGCACCTTAATAATGGCTAGTCTCTAGGATATGTTGTTTACAGAAAAAAGCAAGTAGTATATATACTTCTGCAGAAGAGTATACATATTATACTATATATATGTGTGTGTGTATATGTGTGCATGTGTGTGTGAGTGTGTGTGTGTGTGTGTATATATAAGATGAGAAACAAATATGTAAATGTATAGATGGACACAGATGTGGAGATAAATAATACATATAAATACCCGCTTATATATGCAAAAAGAAACATTGAAATGTTAAAAAAAATGTTTACCTATGGGGAGAGATAGAAAAAAATGGAAGGGAAAGGACAGTGATGAAAACAAGACTTCTCTGAATGTAATTCACTATAAAGCTTTGATTTGGAATCATGCATACATTTTATGTGTTTTTTAAAAATCAATCGAAGAAAATAGATGAATATAAGAAGCTTCCATATTCAGGCTATTTTCCACTGTCATCTAATCCTCATTTTAACTGATTGCAGAACCCTACAATAAATAAACGTACTAATTGTGCATGTACACATTTCTCCTGTTATTCATGCTTATTACAAATTGTCAATGTCTGCCACCGCCTGCCTGTATTTTATCCTGAGTTCTGCTGTAAATTACTCAAATATATTCCAGTCTAATGAAGTACCATATGTGCCTGAGTTCCTCTCATTACACTCTGAATTACAGACCTACTTTATGATTTCAGAACTACCACGGACAAAATAAGTACTTCATCACATACCCAGTGGTTTTCAATCAGTGAATTCTATGGTTACGAATTAATTACATGAAATTTTCTCTGCCTTATCTCTAGAGTCCAAGTGGGACATACAGAGCTAAAGTACAGAGATGAAAGTGGTTCCACAACTGAAAAGTCTCCCTTGAAATCCTTCACTCTCTTCCCTTCTGGTTCTCCCTTATCATTTCTTTGTCACTCAGAGCCTCCAAAACCAAGTTCTAGAAGAAAGACAATGTTTCCTGAAGCTTTGTAAGAATAGGTTAAAGATTTTAAAAAATAGTGGGAAAGGCAGAAAGAGGGGTTGCTCCTCCACAACTCCTAAAAATCCTGACAAAATCCAGAAACGGGAAATTTCTGACAATACCTACCTTGAGGATCTATCTACAGGTATGGCGCAAGATCTCCTAGCAGATCTGAATCTTTCACTCCAAGGCAGCGGTTCTCAACCTTTCACAGGGGTCGCCTAAGACCATCGGAAAACACATATTTTCCGATGGTCTTAGGAACTGAGACACCGCTCCTCTATCCGTCTCCAGGCCCACATGCAGACACGCCCACATAGGAGGACCCGGCAACCCCTGCGAAAGGGTCATTCGACCCCCAAAGGGGTCGCGACCCACAGGTTGAGAACCGCTGATCCAAGGCCTCTGCCTAAGAGAATACTGCCCACAGCACCCTAACTCTTCCCACTGTTTCAAACAGGACAGGTGCTTATTCGCACTCACTGCCTCTGCCTCCAAAGGAAGGATTCTTGGCAGCAAAGTTCTTCAGTGTTAGTTGCACTGCTACACTTAGAACTAGGAGGACGTCATCCACTCACTCTCATTTTATCTGTATCTCCATGCTGAAGAGCTATAGCTCAACAACTCTCCCCCACACACACACACACACACCTTCATAGTAAGAGGCAAGTTTGGCAAACTCTCATTGCTGAAATAAGCACAAAACAGCACAGAAGAAGTGCTTGCGGCAGTCAGGCTTCCTTTGACGACAACCTATAAACCAGGTGAATTTCCCTATTTCCAGATAAAGGCCCATCCCCATCTTCTTGGGCTATAATCACAAGGGGCTTCAAATTACCTGGTGGTAAAACTCTTTCAAGGAATGAGTAGTAACAAAGCTTGGAAAAAACAAATCCTTCTTTGGAGGAAAAATGTCAGAAAATTCACTGCTTTTTGAAAAATATTAGCAATCACTGGGTGGGATTCTTCCAGGGCCAGTTAGGTACAGGCTCTCAATATAAAATCTATCATCAGGTAAGTGCAAAATTATAAATATAAACAAGTAATTTATAAGAGTCATTTTATTCATTAGTGCTTAGCAATGAACATCCTAGGTTAACCGATTCTAAATTTAACTACCATCTTAGCCTTCTCAGTGATCTAAGAAATCTGAACTGGACTCATTGCTCATCATTTCTTTCACAGAAGAGTCTATCCCTATATTGTTTAAGAGATGTCATGTTTCTTGGCATCTGTTGCACTATTTCTCCAGATCGTGGCACATACTGGCCATTCAACAATTACTTGTTAAATGATACCATCATCCCCAGTATGATTTGTCACAATGTCAAATTAAGTCTTTAATCACTGCTAAAGTAATAAAGCTATACAGTTTAATATCCTAAAGCTATAGGTCACTATGCTATGAAGAAAATATTCTATAATTCCTCAAGAAAACATCCTCAGCAGTTAATGGTTTAAGCAGCCCATTCTTCATCATCTCTGTACCTCTGGAGACCCAGACTTCACAAAGCAAATTCAACTACTCACCTCCACACAGTAATGGGACAAAGCCACCACTGCCAAAAGGTCACAGGGGGAGAAGTCACAGTACTGGATGGTGCTGTGATGGCCTGTATGGATTTCTGCCAATAGACCACTGGTATGAATGTCAAAAAGCTGTCAACATAAAAGAGAGATATATATGAAAGTAAAATATTTTTTAAAATAAGCTATGCCCAAACTGAATCTAAATTTATTTTTAAAAGAATATCCTCCCATTTCAAATATAAAGTATAAATCCTGGAAAAATAATATAATTACTGATAATTGGCACAATTATTGTCAGTCATAATTAAGATACAAATCAATATATGTATACGTTTAAAATACTGCTCATCTTGAAACATGTTTCCTATAAAAGAAATTTATCACAGATGATCTCAAGTTGGCCTAGAAAGAAATAAAATCTTTGTGAATAAATGGATGGACTAGCCAAATTAACATACAGAGCAGTTCTCCCTAATGATTGTTTATTCAAGAGAAAATGGATACTCACAAATGAAGATGATCAAAATAATACAGAGCAGAGGCATGCTAAAATGAAATTAGCTCAATCACTTCTAGTTCTCTTCAGAGCTAACCAATTAGTCCATTACAATGAATCATTTTCCCATTTTTGAACCAAAAAAAGAACTATTTTTGAGTAATTCAAGCTTCTTCATTTCGATTTTTAAAAGATGTTTAAATGCTGAATATACTCTTCCAAAACTTTTTGCCAAATATTAAAAACATTTATACCAATGTATATAATAAGTACAGCGATTTACAACCAAGGCAGTCTTTAAAAAAAGCTTCCATAGCTTCCAACAGGAGCCATGACAATGTTCTGTGAATGCACAGATGTGTAAGCAGCATGGCATCAAAGAAATCATACTGAAACTTCCCAGGACAGGTTGTTCTTAAGAACTACTGGCTGAGAGAGATAGAGGAAACTTGGCAAATATGGACTAGGCAGCTGTCCCAATTACTGGGTGGCAAAAAGAAAAGGCCTAACAATAGGAGTGGGCTAACAACACAAGAGTTGAGTTGAAAAGGACAATGGAGAGACCAAAGAGTAAGAAATTGGGATCTACATGTAGTTAAGGGTGATCTTGGGTAACTTTATTTTAGCAGGTAAAGTAAGGAACTGGTCTAGATTTTTAAAATAGAAAGGCACTTCATACAACATAAAATTATTTTCTTCTCTCACTAGAACATATCTTTTAAAATGTTCAAATTCTGCTCAACACCATCAGTCATTAGGAAAATACAAATCAAACCACAATGAGATACCACTTCACACCTAACAGGGTGGTTATAATAAAATAATAGAAAATAACAAGTTTTCACAAGCATGTGGAGAAATTGGGACTCTTCTACATTACTAGTGGGAATGGTGCAGACATTATGGAAAATTGTAGTTCCTCCAAAAGCTAAATATAGAATTGCTATATGACCCAGCAATTCCACTCCTAGGTGTATACACAAAAGAACTGAAAGCAGGGCCTCAAACAGATACTTGCACACCAGTGTTCACAGCATTACTCACAAGAACCAAGAGGTGAAAACAATCCAAGTGTCCATCAACAGATGAAAGGATAAACAAAATGTGGTGTATCCATATGATGGAATACTATGTAGCCATAAAAAGGAATAAAGTTCTGATACATGGTATGGATGAACCTTGAAAATAGTATGCTAAATGAAATGAGCCAAACACCAAAGGTCCAATACTTTGTAATTCCACTTACGTGAACTATGTAGAATTGGCAAATTCATAGATTAGACATTACCAGGGGTTCAGGGAAAAGGGAGTGGGGAGTTTTACTTATTGGTTACAGAGTTTCTGTTTGGGGTAATGCAAAAGTTTTGGAAATAGTGGTAATAGTTGTAAAGCAATGTGAATGTAATTAATGCCACTGAATTGTACATTTAAAAACGGTTAAAATGACAAATTTTACATATATTTTACAACAAAAATATTTTTAATCTTGGGCCAGCCGAGTGGCACATTGGTTAGGAGTTGGCTTGGGACGCCAGCCCTAAGCATCAGGGCCCCGGTTCGGATCCCACATGAGGGCCAGTGATGTTGTGCCCTCTACAGCTAAGATGGTGAACAACAGCTCAACCTGGAGCTGGTCTGCTGTGAGTCACTGGCTACGGCATAGGCTGCAGTGGGGCTGGCCAGCAGCAGGTGTGAGCTTTCGTGAGCTGCTGTGAGTGGCCGTCCATTGGCCGGCAAGCAACTGCCTCACCCGGGAAGAGCGCAATGATAACACCAACATAGACCAGTGAAGCGACGTCCTCCACAACTAGACTGAAGAACAAAAGAACAGCAACTTGTCTGTTCCCCTTCCCCAACTCCCCAATAAAATCTTTAAAAAAAAATCCAAAACATTTTTAATCTTCAAATCTTACAAATGTAATGGTTCCTTTTCTGTTCTTATAGTCTTTCACAAAACACAAAAGGTGGTATTTTTCCTTCAGTTTCCTGCTAAAGGGATATAAACCTATGAACAACCAAGATCCAAGGGTCACAGTTACTAGACCAGTAACAATAACATAAACAGTCCCTCAGTGAGTTTTTATATAACTATATGGTATATTTTAACAGTGTTCTTTAAAATGTAATATCTGGGATGGGAGGACTAGCAAGAGTTTGGTAAAAGAATACACACTTTCAGTTATAAGAAATAAGGTCTGGGGCCAGCCAAGTGGCTTAGTTGGTTAAGAGTTGGCTTAAGAGAGTGGGCTCTGAGCAACGGGGCCGCTGGTTCAACTCCCACATGGGCCAGTGACATTGTGCCCAAGCTGAGCTGTCGCTGAGCTGCCAACAGGTGGTAGGATGGCTCAGCTGGTATAACAACAAGACTGCCTGTTCGATGGTAGACTATGCCCACCCGCAACTAAGACTGAATACGGCACCTTGAGCTGAGCTGCCGCCAGGATGGCTCAGTGGATAGAGCGTGTGCTCTTAACAACAAGGCTGCTGGTTCAACTCCTGCATGGGATGGTGGCTACGCCCCTCCTCCCCACAACTAAGATTAAACACAGTGCCTTGAGCTTAGAGGCCACAAGATGCCGACAGGAAGCCAGATGGCCACTGGCACCCTCCACAACGAAGATTGAAGAACAACTTGTCTGTTCCCCTTCCCCAATTCCCCAATAAAATCTTAAAAAAAAAAGAAAAAGAAAAAAAAATAAGGTCTGATCTAATGTATAATATGGTGACTATAGTTAAGAACACTGTATTGTATAATTGAAATTTGCTGAGAGTAGTACTTAAATGTTCTCACCAAAAAAAGGTAAATATGTGAGTTAACAGATATGTTAATTCAATTGGGGGGAATCCTTTCATAATGCATACATATATCAAATCATCACGTTATATACTTTAAGTATCTTACAATCTTTTTGTCAATTAACCTCAATAAAGCTACAAATAAAATTGTAATATCTCTTATTCAAGTTTTTTTAAATTATTATTAGACTGTAATGTCGCTGAGCCATAAATCAGAAAACCTGGCTCTTGAAATCATGATGTAACTTTGGACAAATTATTTGGCCATTCTGAACCTCAGCTGCCTCCTTATTATCATAGGGCTACTGCAATCTGCTGTGTCCCTTGAATATTTCTTTAAAAAAAAAATGATCTGTGAGAGCACTCTGAATACTACAAATATAAGCTATTAGATTTGAAAAAGGAGGAAGGCATTTTCCTGTCATTTACTTTTTTTGCATCTTCCTCATTTACTTCATCGAAATCTCACAATCATCCTCATTCATTGATGGCCATTTCTCTCTATCAGAATCACAAAATAATAACATTTTAGGGGTAACAAAGCACTCTGAAAATCCTAAACCAATGTATTCAAACTTGTAGAACACAAAAAGTCATGCAGAAAGTATTCCGTGTTCTTAATTAATTTGAGAAACACTTGATTAAACAACATAAATTGTTTCTTTACTGTAGGAGTTCTTGAGGCCTTAAATATGTTAGTACACACCAAGTACCTGTAATGGGGGATGCAATCAATACATAACATTCTCCAAATCTGTATGACTATGGAGACCTTTTCTCAAAAGACCTAGTGACATCCCCTAGAGCATAGTTCTGAGAACTATGAGAGGTTAGGGGACCTGCCCCAAATCATATAGCTATACTTTATATCAATGAACAATGTAAAATGCAAAAATCAACAGAAATTTTAATTTTCTTTAAATTAGACTAAATTTGGCTTGTTAAAATACTAGTACTTACAAAGACTTTATTTTTTGCTGCCACCATTATCCTAGATCCATCAGAAGACCATGAACAGCATTTCACTATCACTTCCAAATCCTCTTGAGGCTCCTCTGAATTTAGGAAGAACTGCTTCATCTTAATGCTCTTCTTCTCATTGGCTGATTTCACATCCCAAAACTTCGAATTACAAAAAGAAATAAGAAAAAGAAAATTTAAGTTTTAATCTCAAATCACACCACTAGAATTCCACCTGGATTAAATATCCCACAAATTATTCACTTTACCTAATGGATTATTTTTACTTATGCATGACTTTTTATAAGGCTTTTAAATTAAGTACTCCAGTTGCAATCAGCACATTCCTTAAAAAAAAAAATTAGAAGCACTGCCTGAAATGTAGAATGCAAAACTAAGTAAAATGTTAAAAGAGCTTGCATGGTGTGGAGGAGGCTAAAGATTAAGAGATGACAGTAAGGATGTGTTTGGAAGAAAGTGAGATGCAGATGCATGACTTGCCACTGCTGCCCTCTGCTGTGCTAGGCATGGAGTATGCTACACTTCATATCTGTATGCACAGCATGGACACTACCCAAGACCCAGTCCCAGCGGAGTTAGAACCTAGCAGAGCATCCAGAGACATAAGGAAGTCCCTGAAAACAGAAAACAGAGAATATGCTGAAAGAAAGCAAGCCACCTTGTGTGCTTGGTGGGGTCAGACGGGACTCTAAAAACAACTGGATCCTGAGGAATGGGATACAAAAGACAAACCTACTCACTTAGCAGAGCCACTTGAGCAGCACCAAAGACAAAGGCCTTCAAGAAGACACATCTTTTCACTCCCTGGGCTTTGAGCAGTGTCCCAGCTTCACAGACTAATAATGGCTACCATGCCCAGACCAAGAGTTGGCCAAAGACAAGGACATAAAAAAAGGTGCTTTTCAGACTTTAACTCAGGTTTCAAAGCACAGCTCCAAGGAAACTCAACTTTTCTGGCCAGGCACATTTTTAAATCTCTCGAGTTTAGAAAAGTATTATATACACTTAGAAATACAGCCTTGCAACAATTGTGGATAAGTTGAAGAGACATCAGATACTACAATAATTAGCTTTTCTTGATACTAAAAAAGGACCAAAAAAATCTAAACATAAATGCCAGAAGCTTCAGTCACATCAGCCAGAATATATGAGAAATCCCTTTCTAGTTCCCTCTTAATAAGAAAAATAAAACAAGCAGCCTGGGTTTTAGAAAAAGAAAATTAACCCTACCTAATTTTAGTACATCTGTCTAAACTACATCTTCTGCATGTAGGCCTGACTTGAGCTCCTGTCCAAGGAGTGACAAAGTTCCACACTCTGAGGGACCAAGTAAATACCAGCATTTCATTCTGAGCAAGTCACTGCACTGTATTTAGGGACCCATGTGTACCCTGGCCCTTGTGTGGTTTAAATGGCAATTTTTAAATAAAACTCACATTTTGAAATAGTTTATCATCAGGGCCTGAAGAACACACGCTTATCAACCTGATACCCTAACAAAATGCTTAGATTACAGAGCCATCTGGGGCAAGAAATAATTGTATAACCCTCATCCTCTCAGAAAGTAAAAGCTTTAGAAGACTTTGACCTTGAAATGTTGTTATCCAACATCATTTTGCAGGATCTCTGCTTACGATGTGTCACTAGATCAGTGTGAACCAGCCAACAATATTGGCTTAATAGCACTCTGGGAAAGCTGCCACCACACGGCAGTTCTCACCACGAGTGCAGCAATGTCTGTCCCCTGCTGCTAGTGCTCTGTGCTCTACAATCACATTTTGATACATGTGAAATCAAAATTCTGTCCATGAAAATTTTAATTTATTTTTCTTTTGAGTTTGAGAAGTCTTAATTTGATTTGAAGGACACAGCAAAGGTTTATTATCTTGAACACATTTATTAGCCACTGTGTAGTCACTTTGAGGTTGTACAAATAAATCAGATATAGATACTACTCTCAAGGAGTTTACAGGCCAATAAAGGAGGAAGGACAAGCACATAAATGACTCTAACACCAGATATGTCAAATGTGTCATTTGAGAGGTAAAGGTACAGCACAATGGGAATGCTATACCCAAGCTGTGCGCTTAAGGGAACACTTTTTGCTGAGGTGGTCACCTCACTCTCCTCCCTAAAGATTAGCCTACTTTATACCACCTTAGAGAGCCAGAATTTCAACACCAGGAAGACAGGAGGCTTTTTTTAAACCGGTTAAAGCCCAAATGCCTAGTACAATATCTGGCATATCGTAAGTATTCAACAAATGATCAACTTTAAGTGAATAGGCACATTATTTCCATGTGGCAAGCACAGGTGAGTAGACAACAGCATTACTGAAAGAAATAGAGTTCAGGTTAAAGATACAGATAGAATACACACATTCATCTCCACACCCTCCCAAAACCCACTAAGACAATAGTAAAGAGAATTTTTCTCTCTAGGCATAATTCACAAGGTGAAGGAGTATGAAGGAGGAGATAACAGCAACAAAACTGTAAAGGCTACAAAACAGAAACACAAGTGACAAAAAGACTCCTAAAAATTGAATCCTGAGCCCACAGTGAGGAAAGCCACGAAGCAGCCCAATTCACACGGCAGAACTCCAAAAATGCTCAGGAAGTGTCGCATTGGGTACTTTCTGGTAAAGGTGGAACTAATCAGGAGGAACTGATGAAAGAAAGTCCCTTGAAATCCCCTCCCCTAATACGCAGTCCAGGTTGCTGTGCCCAACTCTGACTGCAGAATAGAAGGTTACTCTACAGCTGACACAGCTGAGAGTAGGATCACCATTCTGAAAGCAGGGAGATGAGGAAACAGTCTCCATTCCAAAAGATGAGCGCTCCGCCTAGACATCTTCGCAGAACTTGCCTGCCAGACCTACACCCTACAAGCAGAAGACGGAAGACTTCCCACCAGATCAACACAAAGGATCTAAAGAGCCTGACATCGGGAGCTGACCATCAAAAATGACAGCCAGATAAACCTACAGGGGAACGTATAATAAATAAAGTTCACAATTTCCTATCAGTTTTTTCGTAGTGCACTCCTGAATACAAAGGGTGCCCAAAAAATGTATACACATTTTAAGAAAGGAAAAAACTGTTTAAAATTGTAATATAGTGAATGACACTAGCATTCATTTGATTAACACGGTCTTTTGAGCGAACGTCATACTGCACATTACTACCATAATTCAATTCAACTTCAAAAAGTAATACACATAGACAACATCTCTTAAAATGTGTACATTTTTTTTTGGCACCCCTGGTATAAACAGATATATAAGGATCAGGCAACTATTGGGTTGTCGGAAAAGTTATGACATATTTTTGTTTTTCGTTGCAAAAATGCATCATGACTTTTCCAACAACCCAATAATACATATTTCTAAAATGTATACAGAAACCAAAACTAACAAATAGAAAAAAGAAAACAGCAACTATACAAAAATATGAAAACTTCAAAAACACTATTATTAATATCTACAAAAAAATAAAAGATAATGCATCCATGAAACAAGAATAACACAAGATTAAAAAGGGGACTGATCATAAGAATGGGTACTTAAGGGCCGGCCAAGTGGAGCGTTGGTTAAGAGCTGGCTTGGGACGCCAGCTCTGAGCAGCAGGGGCCCCGGTTCGGATCCCACATGGGGGCCAGTGACACTGCCCTCTACAGCTAAGATGGTGAACAACAGCTTGACCTGGAGCTGGGCCTTTACAATTTGACCTCACAGATCTCAAAAGATTTTATGAAACTGTATGATATATGCTTAAAAATTAGGAATTCAAATTATATGAACTTTAAAGCATAAGGTAATAAACCATTAACAAATAATCACCATGATAAGCAATTACAGTTATATTAAATATGCTCCTGGAAGTTGAAGGAAGAAGCTCTTTCTGTATAAATGTAAAAAACAGAAACCTAATTCCATAACCCAAACCTAAGCCCATAAAATTACAACCCACTTTAATGATGAACAAAAACATACCTTTAATGTTCCATCAGCTGAACAACTAGCCAAAAGCTTATCGTCCGGTGAAAATCTGCAGTGATTGACTGAATTGGTATGGCCAAACAGGGTATTTCGACATGCTTTTTGATTCAAATCCCAGAGCTATTTGAAAAAGATAACAAGATAACTGAAAAACTACTCCTAAATGGGGAATAGTTAGAAATTATGTAAAGTTCTTTCTTCCCTTTCATTTAATCTTTTTCAGTTACAAACAGATGTTCAATTCAGAGTAACAGAAGGTGTCAAACACAAAGGTGAACTTGTGATTAACAAGTAATAGGGCAGCCTTTAGATCAGCACCTAAATCTATGAAGGGACTTAAAGGCTGGCCTAGGCTTTTAGCCTAAGCACTAAATAACTAAACGATTACTTCTTATTTTAACAAAGCAGTTTGGAATCATTATTATTTTACTCAGCTCTAATAATAACTAATATGTAAAATACATCACCATGAACATGCTTGAAAAGCACTATAGGGGATGGGGAAAAGGCACTACGAGGGAACAACAAAAGAGCAGAAATGCAGGCCCATACCCCCACTTCAACAAGAAAAATAGGCTTATCTCTTTTACACACTGAGCTTCTATCTAAGTTTTCTTTGGAGGAAAAAAGAAAGAAAAAAATTCAGCTTCCTGAAAAGGGGAGGGAGGACAAAAAGTTTCTACCACTGAAACCAAAAGAGCCCTGATTAATACAATGTAGGGGAGAATCAAAGGAGATGTTCTAATATGTATACAAATTGATGCACCTAATTCTCTTTCCCCACACTTACTTTGAGGAGGCAGTCACTTGACCCAGTGGCTAAGAGAAGGTGATGGCTGTCTTTGGTGAAGTGACAGCAATTGATTTGCTCTGAGTGCTCATCATAGGTATGTACTAGTTCCCCAGTCATAGAATTCCAAATCTAAAGAGAAACAGAAAAAATAAAATTTACAATTACCCTTTATTTTCAAATAAAGAAAAGCAAATGTGAGCTGCTTTGAGGATGCTATCCATTCTGTCTGCCAGATTTTTCCCAGTCAAACATGAATACCTCCCCTTCCCTAAAATATGTAGGTTATTTTGCCAGGATGTTTTTTATTTATTTTTTTACTAAATGTATTGGGGTGACATTGGTTAGTAAAATTCTATAGGTTTCTATAATACATCATCTCTATATTGCATTGTGTGCTCACCACCCAGGGTCCGTTCTCCTTCCATCACCATTTATTTGACCCCCTTTACCCTCTTCTACCTCCCCTGTCTCCTTTACCCTCTGGTAACCACTAAACTGTTGTCTGTGTCTATGACATTTTGTTTGTTTGTCTTGTTCATTTGTTGCTTTCAGTTTTATATCCCATATATGAGTGAAATTATATGGTTCTCGATTTTTTCTCTGACTTACTTCACTTAGCGTGATAATCTCAAGATCCACTGGTGGTACAGTGGTGAGCCTAGCTGCCTTCCAGGGATGTTTTTTAAAAAAAAATTATTTGCAAGTCTATATATATGTCTCTCTATAGCATAATTATTTTTTTTTTCATTGTTTTTTGGCTGAGCCATCCTGCCACCTGTTGGCAGCTCAGCAGCAACTCAGTTCAGGCCGGGCATCGAGCCGCTGTTGCTCAGAGCTCACACTCTTGCGCGAGCTCTTAACCAACTGCGCCACTTGACTGGCCCTATAGCATAATTATAATCTCATGAAAACTTTATATTCTTCATGGACAAGATTTCACATGTTCATATGAATGAAGGAAGGCAGAGAAGCATTATAAAGGGGATGGGAGAATGGACTTCAGATAGGAGGTAAGAAATCCAAAAACTGGCTCTGCCATGATACAATTTGTATGTCCCTGGTCAAGTTCTTAATTTACCTAACTCTCAGTTCCCTCCTCTGTAAACTGGGAATACTTATCCCTGCCCTGCACATGCATGGTATCTAATGAGATCAAGGACATGATAAATGTTCTGTTGACTTCAATGTACCAATGAGTAAAGAAAAGGCAGACGGCTCAGTATAAAAAATAAAAGCTTTACCTTCTGAGGGAAACCTAGCTTTCAACCCTGGCTGTTAGTTACTAGTTACTATGAGCTGGGCAAATGACTTCATCTCTGAACCTGTTCCCTCATCTGAAAAATACTTACTTTGCAAGTTGTAGTGTGAAACTGAAAATGTAGTATACAAAGTGTGTAGTATAAATCCTCACACAGTGTTAAGTTCACAATAAAAAGTAATCACCACTCCAATTACTATGTAAGACTACATAATGAATCTTCACTGGGCTTTGGACTTCTCAGAAGTACTAATGTCCCTCCCACAGCATTTTCTTTTTATATTACCAAAGCACTCCCCAGAGGTCCAAAGAGTTTCTTTTACTTTGATGTTCCTTTAATTTCTGCCTCTTGCTTTACATTTTGAATTCTTAGAAAACAGAAACTTGGTATTATTTCCTTTTACTCCACATAACTGACTCTGGAACTGCTCAGAGTAGCTAATTCCAAGTCTGACTCAGAGTAGAGGCTATGGAGTGAATTAACTGGTTGGTTACAAAGCCAACTAGAGAGTCCAATCTATCAAGAAGTAGATTTTCCGGGCCGGCCGAGTGGCACGTTGGTTAAGAGCTGGCTTGGGATGCCAGAGGTACCCGGTTCGGATCCCACATATGAGGGCCAGTGACACTGCCCTCTACAGCTAAGATGCTGAACAACAGCTCAACATGGAGCTGGGCTGCCGTGAGAGCACAATGATGGTGCCAGCTTGGGCCAGTGAAGCAACATCCTCCACAACTAGACTGAAGAACAAAACAACAGCAACTTCTCTGTTCCCCTCCCCCAACTCCCCAATAAAATCTTTTAAAAAAAAGTAGATTTTCCCAAGGTCTGTATTTAGTCTGGATACTACAGAGACCTTTTCAAGTGGGTGCAAACACCAGGAAAACTCCCCAGCCAACTTTTTTGCTCCCAGGTCCACTAAGACCCACCTCACCTAGCCAGATTCAGCACTCCACAACCCCTTTGAGAAAAGGCTGAGCTGAGGTTCCCCTTCCACTTATCAGATAAAGAGATACTGAAGTCTTCTCCCTAGACTTCAGTATCTCTTAAATTCCACAGAAATGTTTTGGCTAGAAAACAAATTTAGGGACAAGGGACAAGAAAGAAAAATTAACAAAGATAAAAATTACTCTGTGCTTATGATTTTTTCTCTAATTTTAGACTAGTAACCTAATTATTAGTTTGTTCATGCATCTGGTTTTGCATGAAATATAAGCCTGTTCATAAAGGTAAAAAAAAATCTGGGCTGCATTTCAAAAATTATATATTTTACAACAGAATCCAATCTCAGACAATAATTCTGTACAGTAACATTGCCAACACTGCACTCAAAGATTTCAACTGATATTTAACCCGCAGACCAGTCAATACATGGCAGGCAAATTTGTTAATTTCTAATTGATTTTCCCAGCTGCCTGGTCATCAGGCTGATCATCCTAGGAATTTCTGCTGGTACATAAAAATAAAAGGTTTTCAGACAGTGTTAATTTACAATGAATAAAAACTGGTTTGCCTCAAGTTAGTAGGTCAACAGGCAAAAATCCTTCAACCCTACTTACCCTGGCCCCTCTATTATGAAAAAAGAAAATGAATTCTGTGGTGACAACTCAAGAGGAAAACGTTTCCCTACCTTCACTTTCTTATCCACTGAGCAAGTTGCTATAAATTTGTCATCTGTAGAAAATGCACAGCAAAGCACTTCATCCTCATGAGCCTTGATTTCTAGAAGTTTCTCTCCTGTGTCAGCTTTGAACACCTGCACAAGCAACAACAAAATCTTTTTACTATATACCACTTAACCATGAGCCATTATTCAATAAAAATCTTTCCTTAAAAGATCTTCATCATTGTTATTTTGCAACAGTAATGAACCTTGAAAATCACTCCAAAAATCATAATTTCTGTCAGAATTTGTATGTTTTAACATAGAGAACTATCCATTGTTAAACATTTGCAATATCAATAAAAAGAACTGACAGACTACAGCTTCTGTTCTTGCCACTAGTTTGGCAAATTCCTAACAATCAAATAGAAAACACTGAATGCAATACACTTTCTTTCTGGGGCTAAAAGCCAATTTTAATAAAATAAGTAATAAACTACACATAGAAATAAGGTTTATGGTCATAATCTTGCAAAGAATAAAGCTAGCCTAATATAAAAGGTTTAACTAATCTTATTCTGATTCCTTCAAAATCAAAAGGTAGAGCACAAATTTAAAGAAAAGCACTCATTCATGTTTTCAGAAAACAAATGAGAGGTTCACGGAAATTCCTTCAAGCACCCTAGGAAGTAATCTAGTCCAATTCCTACTTACAGTCTTCTTACTGTCAGAAGACTCTATGCCTGAGCCAGTGATAAAATACGTATTTTACTTAATCACTATTTTTCAATTAGAGCCCTGTTCACTGTTCTATGAAGTACTTATGTCTTTTAACAATTATTATTTCCGCTTTATCATTATCTGGCACATGGATGATGGTAATTAACTGGCAGGGTAAAAGGTACTTCTATGTCACTTGGCAAGTTTAGAATTATGAAAACACACATCCATACCTTTTAAATCTCTAGAGAAAGCTTTCATAAAATGTTCAAGTGATTTGGATTTCTCTTTCTAATGTGCAAACTTCTCGAATTTTAATATTTGTGTGCTTGAATATGCACAGTATTCAGTACATGCCCATTTCAATGTTTAACCAGAGATAGTTTACCTGTAAGGTTTTATCAGCTCCACAAGAAGCTATTCTTTGACCATTTGCAGAAAAGCAAGCATGGTAAACAGCATCTGTATGGGGGCGGACAACTAAGCGGGAGAGATGCTTGATGTTTTTTTTGTTTCTAAATATAAGGAAAAAATGAACAGAAACCCAATAAATGAGAGGAAAAGCAATTCTTCTCTTTCAGTAATAAACTGTCTTTTAACATAGTCATGTTCCCAAAAATATAGAATTCTTTAAATTAAATTACCAACATGTAAATGACAGCATAGATCACCCAAAGAAAAAGCATAATATAACAAAATTGGCATTTTAAGAGAAATATTACCTATATCAAACAACCTGTCTATGTGTTACAAATGTCATTGAGTTGGAAGAAATCTAGTTAATCAAATACACATCACTTTCCATTTTCCTTTGACACATTAACATGTGCAGAGAAAACATTATATAAGGATACCTTCAAAAACAAAAATCTTCATATTTTTCAAAAGGAAAGTAGACATGGCAAATGAAATCCATTTCCTAACTAAAGTATGACACTACACCCACTGTTATGATGATGTGCTTTAAAACCACTCTTCTCTAACTACAATTATTCAGATAGAGAAAAAAAGAAAAAGCAATGTCATTTTCTTTGTATCTTAGTCTACTGATTAACTATTCCACTAATATAAATATTATATTATTTATCATGGGCTAAAGGGTCAAGGAGTGTACTGTATACTTAAAATGAAGTATTAGAACAGTATCGGAATTTCAATGTCGGTCACTTTGAGTACAAGTAAATATGTTAATGGTATTGTGCTTAATTTAAGGTAAAAGGTTAGGAGTTATATAAACCTAAAGGGCAACCTCACTTCTACTCCTTATCAGGTGTGTAAACTTATGCAAATTCCTTAACCTAATAAATTTCCTTTACTTGTATGTAAAAACAGGGTAATGATAGTGCTCTTAACAGTACCTGGCACATAAAGATATCAATGCTGTTATTCTTTTAAAAAATTAACCACTCACAAGACAGACCAAATGAAAAAAGGGAACTCAAAGGTAAAACAGACTTAGACCTTGCCTGGTAAGTATTACACTTACCTAGAAGTGATAAAACAAACAACTATAACAACTACAGTGGTGAGAACCTGGAAGAAAAATAGGCAAGTTCACCATCAGAGAAAATCCTGTCTTTCCTCTTGATCTGTCTACTCAATTCCCCAAACAAAGCTCAGAAAGTGACTTGTCATTAATGATGGGCATATAGTAGGTGGCCAAAAGTATTAAATAAATAACAAATGAATGCATGAAAAAATAATCTTTGAAAGTTGAAATAGTTAAATTAAGCTTATACCAACCTAAAACTTTCTACAGTAGGGGGAAAAAAAGGGGCCTCTAATCCAGAAAAATAAAGCATTTTTTGACTATGACCTGGTCAAACCCAGTTAAAAATACAGCTATGAATGATTAACCATTCTATAAAAGAACGGTTAAATGTCACTGAAATGTAGTTGATGGAATGGAAAAAAGCAGCAGCATAAAATAATAAAAATAACAGAGTCAACAATTCATAAGAGAAGAACTAAACCTATGCCCATCTGCCGGCCGAGTGGCGCGATGGTTAAGAACTCGCTTGGGATGCCAGAGGGCCCCGGTTTGGATCCCACATATGAGGGCCAGTGACACTGCCCTCCACAGCTAAGATGCTGAACAACAGCTCAACCTGGAGCTGGGCTGCTGTGAGTCGCCGGCGACGGCGTGGGCTGCAGTCCCTGTGGCAGTGGATTGCCATGGGCTACCGTGTGTGGCCAGCAGCCAGCGTGAGCGGCCAGCAGCCGCAGTGAGCGGCCGTCCAGAAGCCGGCAACTGATCTGCCTCGCCAGAGAAGAGCGCAATGATGGTGCCAACTTGGGCCAGTGAAGCAACATTCTCCACAACTAGATTGAAGAACAAAACGACAGCAACTTGTCTGTTCCCCTTTCCCCAATTCCCCAGCACTGTTCCCATCCCCCCAATTCCCCAATAAAAATCTTTAAAAAAAAAACCTATGCCCATCTGATTATCAAACCAAGCATTAAAATTCCATTTCAACCACTAACTAAAACATGAATGCAATCAATCTTCCAAAAATGTCTACTGAATACCAACTATATGCACCAGGCGATATGCTAAAGCTATTCTTAATAACTAATATTTATTGAGCACTTTCTATGATCTAGGTTCTGTTCTAAGCACACTATGGATGTGTGCATGTTTCTATACACACACTCTTCATTTAATCCTCACAATATAATGAAATGGGTGAGAGAAGTTGAATAACTTTCCCTAGTTATAGATAACTAATAAATAGCAAAGCCCAGGCAATCCTACAGCCAGCCTGTTATTTTAACCTCCAAACTCTTCTATACTTCAGAAAGTAAGGACTATTATGGGAGACAAACAAGTAAACAGACAATCACCATAAAAGGAGACAATGCTATGATATGGGGTCAACAAGTATTCTGGAGTATAGATAGATCTAACCTAGCCTCAGGTAGTTAGGGAGCTGCTTCCAAAGAGTGAAACCTCTTCCCAAGAAAGTGTTTAAAGAATGTTTAACTCTGGGAAGTGGGAAGGTGGGGGAGGTTGGGGAGTCTTTGACTTTTCATTTTACATTCCTCTAATATTGATTTTTTTAAAAAAATCAGGAACATGGATTAAAATAAAAATTTAAAAATTAAATTTTAATTTTAAATAAAAATTTTGTAAGCTTTTCCCTTCATTGGTCCTTCCCAGAATTCCTTACCCATTCAAGCTAATTACCCACTTCTCAGTTCTACCTCTATTTTATACATACTTCTGTTGCACTCATCACATTATATTGTAATTATTTGCTTAAACTTCTTTCTCTACTACTATTATAGATTGTGAGTTCCTTAGGAAGAGCTTTAGCACCTAGTAACTGCTTACTTAGCACATTACAGAAATTCAAATGTTTGTTGAACTGAATTAGGGGAATCACCCATGGCAACCTGACTTCTTTGGAAAGAGGGTCCAGGGCTATGAAGATCACAGACATCAACCTAGAGTTGAATTCATACGTAAATTATACATGTGAAAAGACAACCATTCACACTTACTATTTCTAGCTATAAGAAAAGCATGACATATAGAAGAATCATGGAAAATAAAGCACACAGGCCCAGGGTTGAAATCCCATTCAGCAAGCCACATGAGCTTAATCAAGTCTCAACCTCTCTATGCCTCACTTTCCTCATTTGCAAACTAGGGAAAATAGTATTTACCTTATCAGGTTGCTTTCAAGATAAAATGAATAACATATGTGAGCATATTGTATATAACAGGCATTGAGAAGATGGCAGTTTACCTTTCCTTTTACTAACTGGTAAGATTAAAGTAAGCAAAACTGAATGGCCTCTTTTAGGAGTTAAAAGAATCATGATTCAGTGGAAGTTTAATATGGGCTTTGTGCAAAGCAAAGTGGTAATCTCTTTATATCCAATATCTCATTTAAATCTTCACAAAAATAGTACCTACCTCAAAGGACTGTTATCTCTATTTTACATATGAGAGAAGAGAGTAACCTATAACTTCTTCAAAATCACAAAACTATTAGATTTTATAACTGAGTCCCAAACCTAGGTTTGTGACTTCAAAGCCCATGCTCTTCACTACTTACTGTATTACAATAAGTAAAGCATTTGGTGTTAATATTTAGGATGACTTGTCAAAAATGCCACAAGGCAAGCATCTATTTCTATGGCCTCTTTGAAAATGTATGTTTCTCCTCTAGAACTTCTCAGTAAGTAAGAATGCTTATTAAAAGTTCCAGCCCTTTCCAAAGAACTGTAGTTAAATCTTCCTAGAGTGAACTTATTCACTACCTGAAAAAATAATGATATCATTAGCACTCTGCTCCCTTTGGTTTCTCTCCTAACCTACTTACATCCACTCCAGGTAAAGCATTCCGTTATCGACCTCCTGCTTGGCCTGCAGCTTAGCTTGGCGATAAACTTCTGAAGTTTCCGGTTCACAGAGACCCAATTGTACAATATTAGGAAATGGTTGTCGTCCAAGAAGATGTCCATTTAAAGATAAAAACTCCTGGAAATTCGCACAGACTGCACAGTCCTATGAACAAACTGAAATCTCTTAGAAATATAACCAGAGCCAAGATCTGACAAATTTCTGGTTTCTGTGATCTTGTCACTTTACAGGTTTAAATGAGATATTCTCTATGAGCTAAAATTAAATAGCAAACCATTAGGTAACAAATATAATGACCTTCTTCAGACTTTTAAACATAAGGTAAAATTCTCATTATCAAAGTACTACTTTCTTAACACATTCTTTTCTTAAAAAAACACTGAACACTTCAGTTGCTTAACTTTCAAAGCTTAATCCTAGCCACATTCCCACATTCCCAGTAGGCTTGGAAGAGAAATAATAAGAAAAATCAAAGATCAAAATAAAAGAATTACCTTTCTTTGCCCCTTCTATTCTGCTCATCCCCACTATAAACCTATAATTTAATGTCAAAAAGCATGTCCTTTAAAAACTTTTTTTTATATTAATACATACCTTTTCATCCAGTATATGCCTGTATTCCACAAATTCATGAATCAGATGAGCAGGACCTACGAGTTCCGTTTTAGCTTTAATCCAATCCAGGGAAAACATTAAAGCACAAAGTTCCTTTAAAAAATAATAATAATTAAGATCAGGTGCCCTGCTAAAAAGATCAAAGAATTTTAAGTCTACCATCATTATCCTAACACTACTGAGAGAAACTTTGCAGATATCTCAAATTTAAAGATGAAAAGTAAGCAACTAAAAAGGAACAACACATCAATAGTTCCAAAGAAACATAAAATTAACCTCAAACCTTAACTCAAAATAAGTTTTAGTTAGGTTAAAGACTTAAATACAAAATAGAAAACTTAAAAAAATACTAGAAGGTACAGGTAAATATTTTTGTAACCTTAGGGTGAAGGAAATTTTTGAAAACATGACACCAGAGCAAAATACCAAAAAGAAAAATAGCGGTGCATTTAACTACTCAAAATAAAAACTCAAATCTTCAATATAGTAGAAAATAATCTAATTAAATTTAAGACAAAAAATAAACCAGGAAAAACATATCTATAACACATATGATAGATGAGGGCTTAATATTCCTTTTTATAGGAAATTAAAGAAGTTAAAAAAAGATAAACACCCCAATATAAAAATAGATAGGCAATGGATGAGAATCAATTCACAAAGCAAAAAGTACAAATGGCCAAAAACCTCACTGGTAATCAAAGTGAAACAACAAAGATTTAATATTAATATCAGATTTCTAAAGACTCAAGGGCATGACAAGTATATTGGCTGGAATGAGAAGAAAGAAATGAACACTCTCTCTCATACACTGTTGGTAGTGATGTAAATCAGAGAAACCCTTCTAGAAGACAGTTTGTCAATCTGCATTAAAATTCAAACTGTACACACCATTTGGCCCAGAAATGACACTAATAAATATATGTCCTAAGAAAATAATTAGATGAGTGTGCTGAAGAAATCTAATTGTCCATAACCAACTGATGAATCATAATGTAGCTATACAATGAAATAGTATACAGTTTTAAAAATTACCTCATTCTATATAAAGTGACATAAAAGATGACCATGAAATACAATTAAATGGAAAAAAAACAAGACTATTTCTATTATGATCCCATTTTGGTTTTAAAGAATAAGTGTGTGTATCTGAGCAACAAAATGATCTAGAAAAGCATTCACAAAAGCATTAGCAATAGTTGTGATCTTCATTTTCTTCCAGTTTTTATAATTTTTTCTAATAAAAATAAACCATCATTTTCAATCATCAGAATAAAACAGGTTAAAAAAGTGAGAAGAAACAGAATGCCACATTATCATACATATCAAAAGTTTTTTTAAAACAATGCATTGACCCAGTAATTCCACTTTAAGGAATTTTCAAAGGAAATAATACAGGTGCAAAGACAAACAAGAATGTTCATTACAGCATCATAAGGGCAAAAAAACTGAAAACAACCTAAATGCTCAACAATTACAGTTTGGTTAAAAAACTAGGGCACTGATATTTATTGGAATACCTTTATTCCAATAGAGATTATTAAACATAAACTATATTTTACTAAGTGAAAACAAGCAGGCTACAACACCATTTTTGTAACCAAGAGATAATGTACCTAAGCACAGAAAAATTACTCAAAGTACATATGGTTTTCCAAAGTCTTAACATCTTTAGTAGCTAGTTGGTAGTTATAACTTCAAACATCACCTACATGCAGATTATTCCCAAATTTTATCTTCAGTCCATAGTCTTCCCCAGAAATCTAGATTCATATATACAACTATGTACTCAATAATTCCAGTTAGATGTCTTAATATGTGTATCAGACTTATATCTTCCCTTCATCCCCGGAAAAATATTTGTTCTACCTGCAGACATCCCCACCTGAGTTCATGGCAGCTGCAATCTTCCCACTGCACAGGCCTGGAGCCATCTTTGACTGCTCTTTCTCTTACAATGCACATCAAACCCATCGGCAAATCATGATGACTCTACCATGATGTCATCACTTTCTTTCTCCTTCCATGCTTTTTGCTTCTTTTGAGCACTTACTAACCCTGACATAGCATAAATGTGTTTGTCCACTGTCTGCCCCCAGAATGTAAACTCAGTGACACCAGGGACTTTGTGCCTGTGGCAGATCCTCATAATGAAGAACAGTTCTAGTACATGACAAGCACTCAACATTTACTGAATGAATGAATACACTTTCTCACCCTCCGTTTCCTCTCAAAATTTAAAAACAAATTCATACTGCCCATAAAGGAAAGCTCCTGGTAAGAAGAGTGAATTTTTAGGTGGTTCATCTACTGTAATTACTCAGGTACCTTATTAAATCGCTGCAGGTAAAGACAGTAATAAAAACAAAAACACTGACATAGTTTAAAATTCTATTTTTACTAATAAAATTCTAAATATAGGACACAATACAAGTAAGATAAAAGAAAATAATTTTCAAATGGGTCATCTTACTTTGTGCATATTGGCACTGGCCATGTGATAGGCCAAAAAACTGTACCAGTACATGCAGTCCTCCTGATCCGATGAGAGAGTGTGTGGCTGGTGATGTCTCTGGAACTGAGTGATTATCTTCTTATGTAGATCCTAAAGCCCAAATGAAACATTTCAGAGGACAGAAACAATGTCAAAAACCTAAACATCACAGTAACTCCAGCTTCCAAAGCTATTTAAGAAGATACAGAGAATCTCCCCCACAAGATACTTAAAAGGAGAAAATAGTAACTTTACAGTGGACAAACTGGCAGACACCACTTTAACCAAGTGATCCGCGTTAACACCACTTATAGTAAGATATATCAACACCCTGATATGATTATGTACCAAGAAGGTCACAACATCGCTTTTGTGGTATTCTTGCTAAAAATATATAACCCTGATCTGGTCAGGAGAAAACATCAGATAAGCCCAAACTAAGTGGCACTGTACAAAACAACTAGCTACTACTCCTCAACAATGACTACGAAAGCTAAAGAAAGCTGAGGAATTTTCATAGATTTGAGAAAACCAAGGAAGCATGACAATTATAATGCAATATGGGATCCTGAATTGGACAAAAAGAACATTAGTGGGAAAGCTGGTGAAATTCAAATACAGTCTGTGGATTAGTAAACAGCACTGTATCAGTGTTAATTTTCTGACTTTGATAACATAGTTACGCAAGATGTTAACACTGGGGGAAGCTGAAGGAAGCTGGGGGAAGGGTATATGCATAGAAATTCTGTACTATTTTGCAAGTTTTCTGTTAGTCTAAAATTACTACAAAATAAAAATTTAAAAAAAAGGGCCAGCTGAGTGGCGCATTGGTTACAAGTTGCTTGGAACGCCAGCTCTGAGCAGCAGGAACCCGGTTCAGATCCCACATATGAGGGTCAATGACGTTGCGTCCTTTACAGCTAAGATGGTGAACAACAGCTCGACCTGGAGCTGGGCTGCTGTGAGTCGCCCGCGACGGCACAGGCTGCAGTGGGGCTGGCTGACAGCTGGCGTGAGCTTTTGTGACCTGCCATGAGCCGCTGTGAGCAGCCATCCAATGGCCGGTGAGCGACTGCCTCACCCGGGAAGAGCGCAATGATAATACCAACATGGGTCAGTGAAGCAACGTCCTCCACAACTAGACTGAAGAACAAAAAGGACAGCAACTTGTCTGTTCCCCTTCCCGGATTCCCCAACACTATTCCCCTCCCCCAATTCCCCAATAAAATCTTTAAAAAAAAAAAATGTACAGAGGTACAAGTACCTGAAGCTGGCTGCGATTCTTCTCTGTAAGAAAATCTACTTGAAGATCATGTAAATGATAGCGAAATGAATTTCCATTCCGATCACAAAATAAGAGGGACTTATTAACAAACTCCTGCAGTATGTCTTCAACTTCTTCAGTTTCCATGTCCCAGAGAATGCATAACACCTAGGAATCATTTTAAGCATTCAGTATGCCACAAAAGTACAATGAAAAGGATTGCAGACAAGGTGTTAAGACAAAAAAATTCATATCTTAAAGCTCTGAATAAGAACCTCTCCATTTCATAAGAAGCTCAACCATTCAAGATAGAAAAGAGGTCAAAAAAAAATTCGGGTATTTCTCCAGCTTCATGAGAACCACTGAGAAATAGGTAAGTCATCTGGGCTCAACACCAAGCCCTTGATGGAGAACAAGAGCAGTGGGCTTTTCTGAACCCTACAACCCACCACTTCAGTCTCATGGGTGTTATCTTTCCAATATCCTCTGTAACAGTGTTCTCAGTATTATATCAAAGGTTACACGCCATAAATACCAAGTGACAAGAATTGTTGGTCCTTCTATTACCTTTGTAGGCACCTTAACATCCTTCTGAAAGATAGAAAGATCTGTGTAATAATCTTTGATGTCTTCTCTGAGCATTTCAACACTGATAGACATGGCTTCATCCAGAGCCTCATAATCATAAGATGAAGATTTTCTTATCCTCTTAAATTGCTTATTCTGAAGTTGCCTGAGGTAGTACTCCCAGCGGTTGGGAAAATCACGTAAAAGTGCACCGATTAAAGACACCACGAGAGGAGAACCTACGGAAAAAGCACACGGTGTTACCACCGGCTCATTTCAGACATACCACTAAGAACCAATGTATTCTTAAGAAATCATTTCTGTTGCATGTTATCCAAAGCCTTAAAAGATTTATAGCTCTTTGATTCACTTTAGGTATTTATTCTAAGGAGGTCAGTAGATATAAGAAATATTTCATTTCAGGATATTCATCATAGCATTATTCAAAATACTGAAAAATTTTAAAAAGAAATAACTAAATAAATTATATCACAACATTATGCCATTGGTAAATTTTTTTCAAAAGATATTTAATGGCATGAAAAAATGTTCAAGATTTGTTATATAAAAAGGACAAGATTCAAAATTTATACATACCACATTATAGTCTCAATAAGTTTTTCAAAGTTTTAGATGCAGTAAAAGACTGGAAGAAATACTCTCATGATACTAATAGTTATGAGATTATGGATAATTTCTATTTTTTCTTTAGTTTCACATTTTTTAAAATAGACATGCATCAGATTTATAATGAATATAAATCAAGTGTTTTTTCTAAGTTTAAGATTTTTTTAAGTCAATTAACTGAAAACCAAGTATCTATTTCATGGCAGAAAAAAACAAGAAGGTATTTCCAAGCATTAACAATGATGGAAGAAATATTAAGTCCTGTTAGATTTGATTATATAAAATTTTTAAATTTCTGTATGTCAAAAAATACTACAGTGCCGGCCGAGTGGCGCGATGGTTAAGAGCTGGCTTGGGATGCCAGAGGGCCCGGTTCGGATCCCACATATGAGGGCCAGTGACACTGCCCTCCACAGCTAAGATGCTGAACAACAGCTCAACCTGGAGCTGGGCTGCCATGAGTCGCCGGCGACGGCGTGGGCTGCAGCCCCTGTGGCAGTGGGCTGCCATGGGCTACCGTGTGTAGCCAGCAGCCAGCGTGAGCGGCCAGCAGCCGCAGTGAGCGGCCATCCAGAAGCCGGTGACTGATCTGCCTCGCCTGGGAAGAGAGTAATGATGGTGCCAACTTGGGCCAGTGAAGCGACGTCCTCCACAACTATACTGAAGAACAAAAGGACAGCAATTTGTCTGTTCCCCTTCCCCCAATTCCCCAATAAAAATCTTTAAAAAAAAAAACTACAAATGAAATTAAAGACAGACCAAAACCTGGGGAAAATAATTGCAAAAATAAGAAAAAGGGTTAATAGCTTCAATAGTTAGAATACCTAAAAGTCTATCAAAAATACTTATATCACAAAAGAAGAGTCAAGGATAATTTCTTAAAATGCAAATACACTAAAACCTTGAATTGCGAGTAACTTGGTTTGCAAATGTTCCACAACATGAGCAAACATTTCTATTGGACTGGTGCAAAAGTAATAGCAGTTTTTGCCATTACAAGCAATTACTTTTGCACCAACCTAATAATACATTTTAACTTGGTAAATGAGTGATGTCTTGCAATACGAGTAGTTTGGTTCCGGAACGAATTATGCTCGCAAACTGGGGTATTACTGTATTCAATAAACAAGGAAAAATGTTTAACTTCATAAATAAAAAACGCAAATCAAAACACCAGTTTTCACTTATCAAATTAGAACACTATTTTTATAAAACCCCAACAAAAAAATTTTTTAAACTCTGATTCACTATATTTTCTATTCTTGGACAGTAGAGGCCATGTCTTCATTTCACCCCTCCCACTAACATATTGTGGGCATTCATTAAATATTATTTTAATGAATGAATGAATACCAAAATATCATTATATATTTAGGCTATCAGAGAAGAACCTAAAATATTAAATATTCTAGTAAAGTTTTTAGATGTTCATGTTCATTAGCTTAACTTACAAAAGGGTAAATTAACATCTCTATAACCCCCTCATTCATAAAATAAATAAATATACCTTTACACTCTTTTATAATACTATGAGCTTGTTCTGGCAAATCTGCTTTCTTCATATTAACAAAAAGGGATAAAATTTCAAGTCCTTTTTCTTTTCCTAAGCAACTCTCCACAGGGACTACATATTTAGGACCTGTAAAATAATAAAGTACAATAAGTAATTTGGTATGCCACATATTTAAATGTAATTGAATTAAAACATAAAAGTACTAAAAAGCAAATTAATAATCCTTACCCATTACTGAGTCTGTAACACTCTTGTCTCTGGTTGTAAGAAGAATCTGACATTGATTGTCAAAAGCTTTTAACACCCAAGGATCCCAAACATCATCCAAGATCAACAGAGACCTAATTTAAAAAACTGTATTGAGTCACTAATTACATTTATTTTAAGCGTCCTTTAAAAAAAGAGAATGCCACCAGTGTTGCTAAATTTACAAAATAAAAATAAAAAAAAGAATACATGTCTCATGTCTCTTCCTCTTTTCTTTGCTATATCTCTTCCATAATAATACTGATCCAAATAAGGAAAAGTAAATTAGAACCTTACCTCTCCCACCCCAAATCAATGCATATTAAATAAAGTTAAGGGCCCTATTAAAAAGAGGGCTGTGTGTACCATGTAAGTACTAGAAATCAGTAACCTACTGCCTAAAAAGAACCATCCCTGTAATGGGATTTTGGAAAAAATCCAATTCAGTCTTTAAGTACCAAAACAAAATAAGAACTAGGTGCAGGTTAGCATTACAATGAATCATATATCCATGATGATATTTGACCATTTTTTTACCTACAAAACTAACAATTTCATATGTCCCAACTAACAGAAAGCGTTAGCGAGTATATTACTTTTCATTTGGTACACTAGTAGGGTGTTTTTCATCCAAGAAATCAGTCTGTTTATTCATAATGACAAAGAACCTCTGTGTCAATTCCTGACTGGTCTCTTCCAAAAACTTTTTAATTTTAAACTCACCAGAACAAGTGGAAAAAAATACAATGAATACATAATAGCATATTTACACACTTGCATTTTTACCTGAATACCACACCACTTCTATACACTACACACACACACACAAAAAACTCTAGGTACATATGCAGGTTGGAAACTTACAAAAGCATAAACCAAAATGATGCTGAGAAACAAACAAAATAAACTGGCTTTATAAGCCATGGTCTGAAACATCTGAGAGTGGTTACATTTTCCTGAACAGAAATCACTTTTAGTTTTGCAAAGAAGGAAAGTAGGATTAGGGAGACGTTACTGGGCAAGAAAACAGGAAATGGTTAGTGGTCTCAAATCTATTTCCTCTAGGAAAATGGATACCAGTGACTATTAAGGGGAAAGGGAGATAATGGAGGGATCTTGAGGAGAAATAAGCCCGAGAGAACAGAACTTATCCTCTGTAGTGAGTGTCCATCATAAGTACCTAGGAGGCTTTTTCCAAAAATCACTCCTCACCCAATATTCTGATCTTAATCCCCTTACCAATTTGAGAATCACTGCCATCCTCAGCCACTGTTACATGTGCCAGTGTACTACATCGTCAGGTGCACTGGACATTAAATAAAATTCAGTGCCATTACCTAATTCTTGCCCAATTTACTGTTATTCATCTTTGTACTTGCAGCACTGACCCAAGCACAACATTCAATGCTGGTTAAACGAATAAATGAAAGAAATGGCCACTGGATCATGGAAATCAAACTGTTAATTGAATCCCAAGGCATGTTTTTAACACAAGCAGTAACTAAGCTGCTGTCTCCCTCTGGCTAATGAAAATTGTGAAATAGCTGATAACAGTGCCTGGCACATAATTATAACAGTACTTATTGAATGAATGAATTATTGAAATAAATAAAACAAACTCTTGAAGTACATGGAAGTAGAAGAGTTACACATATACCCAAAAACTAAGACAACAATAGAAGGATCCCATTAAATAATCCTTCCTGACTCAGTCTTTTCTACCAGTTGCCTACATTTATTCTGTCTCTTGCTCTATGTTAATCCATTATAAATAATGGATTTAAGGTAAGAAACTTGCATTTTCCAGCAAAGACCACTCACCAACTCATCTACTTAAAGTATTTCTTGAGAGTCTACAATGGTACATATGTAAGAGACGATGCGGTAAGTAGGAGGCAAAGAAGAGAAAAGTAGCAATTTTAGGCCAGTGGCAGCCACTTTTTATTTTTTAATACAAGGGCAAGAACAGCAGGAAAGCAATGGTTCTTTCTTAGATACTCTACCGAACAGCGAGAAAAGGGTGTAATGTCCTCGGGATGTCACTAGTTAGGTGTCACTGGGACTGCATATGCCAACCTAATCTGACCATCTGTACCTTGGGTGTTTGCGCAGCATCAGAAGGCGGAGACGGTCCTTAGCCTCTTCAATGTTAAGTGGAAGCCTCTGGGAGAAACTCTCATCCTCATCCAACCGTGTACAAAGATTCTGCAGTTTCATCAGAAGCCCAGCTTTGTCTTGCTTCCCAACAGAAACCCAATGCACACCCCCTGGGAAACAACCTGGTGAGTAAAAAAAATCATAAACTTAAAGCCTTTGAACAGGAGTCCTTTGAAAGATTAAACTGATGTTTAAGGACACATAATCATTCATTATGGTTCTCATATAGAGAAGAAGTAAGGTTCAAGTCTGACTCTACTGCTTACTACCTATGCAATTTTAGCAAGTCACTTAATCTCAGTCTCATTTATTAGACGGGCATTAAGACTGTTTATCCCACCTATTTCAGAATTCTTCTGAGAAATTAATGATATAAAATATAGAATTTGCTATATTAACTGTAAAGGGTTGTAACAGACTTACTGGTGATATGGATCTAAGAGCTCTTCACAAATATTAAGCTTTGAACTAGTAGGCACTATATAAGAGTGGACATTACTGTTACTGTCAATTGTTATCATCATCGTTATTGTTAATTAAGGCATAGCATATCTTAAAATACATATTTTTACTTATACATTATCAGGAGCCAAAAATCCTAAGTTTTCACAGACTATATTTAATCAGCTTCACATAGAAAAAAAGTAAAAGGGGTCCCTATGTGAAAAATATGGTGAACAGTAGTAGCATTAGATCATATCAGTGGCATTAACCATAAAGATTTATATTATGTGATGGCAAAAGTATAAGAAAAAGCAAAACATAGATACAAACATAAATGAGTTATATTACACCAAAGGTAATTTATTTACTGATATTCACAAATAATTAAGTACAAAAAGAAATCACTATCTTAAAATTTTAAGAAATATCTGTATATATGCTCAAAGATCTATTTATAACATATTTTTGAGCATTAGTCTAACAGTTCTACACATTACTCTATATTTAATCCTCACAGAAGACTATCAAGCAGACACTATTATTATCCCCACTTTACAGATGAAGAAATTGAAGTATACAAAGGTTGAGTAACTTGTTCAAGGTTACGGAGCTAATAAAGCAGAGATGGGATTCAAAACTCCAGAGTCAATGCTCAACTTCTGAACTATTTTCCCTCCACAAGGATATCCACTGCAGTACTGTCTGCAACAGGAAAATGCGGGAAACCACCTGCAATGTCCAGCTGAACCTCCTCTTCCCCTGCAGGTTTTCAAAGCCTGAGGCAGGCCCAACTGAGGAAGAGGAGAACCTTATATATAAATAAAGTCTGGAGTATTAAATAGGACCTGACATTTTAATTATTGAAATGAGACTGTTTTTAAAACGTGAAGAGTCCTGGGGATGCTGAACCTATACAAGGCCAGGGAAAGAATCAGTCCTAGAGAAGAGTTTAGAACAGGCAATGAGGGAAAGAATAAACTTGTTTTCTGATTACACCCTACAAACCCCAATGTGCAATGGTTACACATCCACTAAATAAACCTAATAAAATTACCAAGGTGTATGATCATGAATTTAAATTGAAACTCAGTTGGGTGATTTTCTCCAGCAAAGAGGAGGCAAGTAATAGTCTGGATGAAGCAACAGGGAGTAAGAAAGAATGCCTACTCCATCTCCTAGCATAGAGAAGTAATCAGCCTTCACCCAAGATAAGGAGAGAACCCAAGAGCCAAGAGTATATGCTAAAGAGCAAATGAATGATGGGCAATAAAAATCTAGGCCCAAGCCTACAAGAGGACTGATGGGATAAATACCCATAGTGGGGATATTATGAAACCAATGGATAAATATTGATAGGCCAAAAAACTGTAGTAGTGAACCCGAAGAACCGAAGAGGTAAAGGTAGGCAAAGAGTATAGAATAGAATGTTTAACATCAAGATTTCAAAAGTGGCATCGTTTCGGGCCGGCCGAGTGGTGCAATGGTTAAGAACTGGCTTGGGACGCCAGAGGGCCCCGGTTCGGATCCCACATGTGAGGGCCAGTGACACTGCCCTCTACAGCTAAGATGCTGAACAACAGCTCAACCTGGAGCTGGGCTGCCGTGAGTCTCCGGCGACGGGCATAGGCTGCAGCCCCTGCTGCAGTGGGTTGCCGTGGGCTACCGTATGGCCAGCAGCCAGCGTGAGCGGCCAGCAGCCGCAGTGAGCGGCCGTCCAGAAGCCGGCGACTGATCTGCCTCACCCGGGAAGAGCGCAATGATGGTGCCAACTTGGGCCAGTGAAGCAACATCCTCCACAACTAGACTGAAGAACAAAATGACAGCAACTTGTCTGTTCCCCTTCCCCCAATTCCCCAGTACTGTTCCCATCCCCCCAATTCCCCAATAAAAATCTTAAAAAAAAAAAAGTGGCATCGTTTCTGGTAATGCCAAGGACTGGGGTCCAGGCCAGGGTTCAGGGAAGTATATGGCTGAAAGGGAGAGAAGAAAATGATCACTGCAGATAAAGAGGTCAAGGAACTGAGAGGCCAAGGTTTGGGATGACTCATCCACACAGATATCGAAATCACTAAGAGTACCAACAGAAGGGATTAGATTTAGAAGAACTCCAATTATCAATGAATGAGAGGGCAGTAACATAACTGGGAAAGATTAGAGAAATGAGCCTCAAAGGACAAAGAATTTAGCTGGAGAAGTATTAATGGTCTGGATAAGGCAACAGAGAGTAAGGACAATATCCACCCATTTCCTGGTGCTGAAGTATGTGGGATATAAAGGAAAAACAGTTGCCACACCACTGAAGACAGCTAGGGAGAAGGTGATAGTCTCAAGGAACTGCCCAGTTTCAGATAAGGCAAGAAGGAAAACAATCTAAGAAGGGGTTGATGATACAGAGGAGTTTCCTGGTCACAGAGGAGGGAGTCTAAATAGCATATGGCAGAAAGGATTGGGAGTGAGGGGAGGGGACCTAGATCAGAACTTGGCAACGTTCTGAGTGGTAACTCCATGAGACTCTAAAAGATAACAAATGACCAGGAGACAGACAACTCTGTGATAACTGAGGTATGAAGTATGGTGTGATTATCAGTTTCAGTGTCTTAGAAGAAGGTAGACAACAAGTCCTACACTTCCCTCCCGAAAGCTCCCTGAAATTCCCATAGACTTTCTTCAGTGTAAGTCAACAGTTATGGATCAGTAAATCCTTGATTTCTGTTTCATTTTCTGGCTTTGCTTTGTGTGGTAGCTGTGTTCTATGAATGTTCATGTTTGTAAATGCACAAGGAAAAGTTTGGAAAAAGTCACTCTTCCTAATGCCGCGACCCCTTAATACAGTTCCTCATGTTGTGGTGACCCCCAACCATAAAATTACTTTCGTTACTACTCTATAACTGTAATTTTGCTACTGTTACGAATCATAATGTAAATATCTGATATGCAGGATGTATTTTCATTGTTACAAATTGAACATAATTAAAGCATAGTGATTAATCACAAAAACAATATGTAATTATATATTGTGAAATATTTATTTCTAATTACAAATAAATGAAATTTTGTCTTGAAGCCGGGTACTCGTATGTGGGCGTATCTGCATGTGGGCGAACCCGCCTGGAGACGGATAGAGGAGCGGTGTCTCGGTTCCTTAGACCACCGAAAATATGTGTTTTCCGATGGTCTTAGGCGACCCCTGTGAAAGGGTCATTCGACCTCCAAAGGGGTCGCGACCCACAGGTTGAGAACCGCTGCTTTAAACTGTTGACCATGATTATCTCTGGTGAAGAATTTAGGTGAAAGGCAAGAAAGGCAAATAAAAAGAATTTTGACTTCTTTTTAAATGAAAATACTACTGGACCGTCTAAGTGGCACATTGGTTGGGAGTTGGCTTGGGATGCCAGCTCTGAGCAGCAGGGCCCCAGTTCGGATCCCACATGAAGGCCAGTGATGCTGCGCCCTCTACAGCTAAGATAATGAACAACAGCTCGACCTGGAGCTGGGCTGCCCTGAGTCATCGGCATGACGTCAGCTGCATTGGGGTTGGCCGGCAGCTGGCGTGAGCTTTCATGAGCTGCTCTGAGCCACCATGAGCAGCCGTCCAATGGCCGGCAAGTGACTGCCTCACCTGGGAAGAGCGCAATGATAATTCCAACATGAGCCAGTGAAGCGACCTCCTCCACAACTAGACTGAAGAACAAAAGGACAGCAACGTGTCTGTTCCCCTTCCTCAATTCCCCATTGCTGTTCCCCTCCCCGAATTCCCCAATAAAATCTTTTAAAAATAAATAAATAAATAAATGAAAATACTACTATTGTAATATTTAAGACAAAGTTTCAAACTACCTGTTGCTCCTAAGGTTTTTGGGTTTTTTTTTTATTGGTGCTTTCTATTTAAAATTTTTAAAAATCATCCCAGGATTAAAGACAAAGATAAGTATCCTAATATAGTATACTCTTCAGATTTAAATTTAAGTACCTATTATCTATATCAAAGGTCTTTCTCTCTTAAATTTAAAACTAAAAACTGAGCACGTTATAAGTATATGTAAGAAAAAATAAAACACTACTAGCAGGAAAGACAAACAGACCAAATGATCAAATGATCTGCTAATCTCCTACCATCACAATATGACAGTTATACACTGAAGCATTAATTCCACATTTCAGAAAGAATCTAAATATCTTGTCTATGGGCACAAGAGGGTGCAATTTAGCCTTGAATGAGGCTTGTACCTATAATTCATTCAGAGAAAATTAACCAGAGAAAAACTGCCTTTATTCGGAGAAAATTAACCCCATCCTATTTTCACATGAGGTTTACCCTGGTAGCAATTAATAATCTAATAGCAACAAGGAAACCCTGGGAAGGACAGAAAGTAGATAGTCTCTAGAGAAAGCTTCCATGCTTTAAAAACTCAGGAATAGAGAGTCTAAAGAAGTTTAATCACGAATGTCCGATGATTTAATCAAACACGCTTATGTAATGCATCCTACATAAAAAGGGAGGGATTCAGAGAGCTTCTGTGTTAGTGAACACATGGAGGTGTGGGGAGAGTCGCACACCCAGAGAGGACATGGAAGTTTGGAGCCCTTTCCCACACACTTTGTCTTATGCATCTCTTTCATCTGGCTGTTCCTTAGTTATAGCCTTTTATAATAAACCAGTCATCTAGTAAGTAAAATGTTTTCCTATGTTCTGTGAGCCACTCTAGGAAATTCATCAAGCCCAAGGAGAGGGAACCTCTGATCTATACTTATAGCTGTAACAATCTGGAATTGCAATCGGCATCTGAAGGAGGTCGGGGGGCGGTCTGGTGGGACTGCATGAACCCTTATCCTGTGGGATCTGACGCTATCTCCAGATAGTGTCAGGACTGAGTTTAAATCGTAGGATACCCAGTTTATGCTGAAGAATTGCTGGATGTGTGGAAAACTCACACATGTAGTGTAAGAAATGAAGTAGTGTGTAGTTGTGTAGAGGAGACATATAGGAGGAGTGTGTTTTTCCTTAGAAGAGGGGAAGGGAAATGAGAATGGGAAATTTTTAAAAGGAAATAAACACAGCAAGAAGCCAAGTCTTATACAGACCTAATATAACAATGGGCTATGAACTGAAAAATATGACTGACTCAATCGTCTGTGCTTGAGATTTCACGAAGTATATGAGGAACATGAATTAAGCTCACTATGAACAAAATGGTTAAAATCTATTCCCAGATCACAATTTGCACAATATGATTCCTGGGTAATTAATTCCTAAGCTCTTGGTCAATTTTAATCACTAAAATGAAAAATTTGCCCCAATAATTAAGAGTAATTTAAATTGAGTTGAGCAGCTCACTTTTACCCCTATAAATTAGTATATTATAAATATATATTTTAAAGAAAATTCATCATAGTATTGAAAGAAAAACTCAGTTCTTTACACTAAAGGAACTTAAACAATTTTGTCCTGAAATATCTTTGGTGATCAACTTTGCAGCAGAGGTTTAAAAAAAATGAATAAATAAATAAAAATAAAGCCTTGGCCCTGAGATTTGCATAGAGCTGAGTCCCAGGAAACCTCTATAATGACAAAGGGGAAAAACCAGGTTTAGGAATTGGGGATACTTGCAACAAGAATATGATCAATACTGCTGACAAATGCCGTGAAGTATACATAAAGCCAGGTGCGTACAACAGATGTGCCTTAGCCTCCACCTTTCTAAATCTCTTAGAAGTGTACCACTTATTCCATTAATTTTGTCATCTCATCAACTGTCCTAACCATTGATTATGTACTATAAACAAAAAAAGTTACTCAGACAGAAATCCAGAACTGTCTTTAGATTCCCCTAGAAATCACTAATAAATGGAGACAAACAAAGACTGAGGGAGCTACATAACCATTCCTGAATACCCTGAGAATCTACCAGACTCATTAAGATCAGCAGCATACCTGCTAAATATCCTAAACCCTCTTCTGTACAGTATGCCCTTTACTCCAGTAACTGCACAATACCCTGCCCACCTTCCCTACTCTCCCATCCCTACCTAGCCTTCCATGCAAACTTCTTTTCTTCCTCCAAACTCCAGCTAAAATGTCATCTCATTCAGGAAGCCTGTGCTGTCCCACCCTCTTCCCCCAGAGAGATAACACTTCCTTCCTTTGTTCTAACTATGTACCTTTTATACTTGTTTCTACTGTTCAATTTATCACATATATCATAATTTCTTAATATCTGTCTCCCCTACTAGTATGTGAGTGAACTCCTTAGATGCAGACTGTGTCTTCTTTTGGGATCCCCAGTACCCAAAACAGTGCCGAGCACCACAGTCAGCTCTCAAACATTACTGAATACATGAATACCTGAAGCAAGAAAAGTAGGTCACCAGATAGCAAATGAATCTATACAGCCCACCTACAAAAACCATCAGTTGCTACAGTCAACTCCTTGGGGCTTTTCCTGAGGGTTTACCATAGATAGACAAGTTACTGAAGATTTTTATGTTTAAAGATAAGCCACTGATATAATTACAGAAACGGAATTAATAGTTTAATACAGGATGCCAAATACATGGGAGAATCACCCACAGGGAGAGTCATTAAGGGAAATGAGTTTCCAAGAATCTCCTTCCCCACAGCACTCTATGCCACAACAGACAGGAAGGTGTAAGTCTAGTACTGCCTGAAAGGCAGGGATATAAGCTAGACCACCTTTCAAGACCCTTTTTCAACCCTCAATTGTTAAGATACAAGACAACTAGCTTCATTCCAATGATAATAAGCACCATCTGATAATATATAAATGTATTGGCCTGGCTACCCAAGGCTCATTGTTGACAGGCTCGGTAGAAAATAAATTCCAAATTTAATCATGCCTGTGGTAGGCAGAATGATAGCCCCTCAAAGATGTCCACATCTGAGTCTACAAAACTTGTAAATGTTATCTTACATGGCAAAAGAGACTTTGCAGATGCAAGTAAATTAGGAATTTTGAGATGAGATTATCCCAGATTATCTGGTAGCCCCAATGAGGCGAGAGGGTGGTGAGAAGGTTAAGAGTCAGAGGATATGTGATGACAGAAGCAAAGCTCAGAGAGAAAGAGAAAAATCTGAAGATGCTATGCACTGCCAACTTTGCAAATGAAGGAAAGGACCATGAGCCAAGGAATGTAGGCCACCTCTAGAAGCTGGAAAAGGATTCTCCCTAGAGCCTCCAGAAGGAGCTCAGTCCTGCAAATACCTTGATTAAAGCCCAGTAAGATCTACTTTGGACTTCTGACCTCTAGAAGATAAACTGGTGTTATTTTAAACCACCAAATTTTTGGTAATTTGTTACAGCAGCAACAGAAAACTAATCCAATGCCTAAAGAATATCTCCTTAGCTAGTAACACATCGTAATTAAAACTTACGTTCTAAGAAGTCCTGATCTCGAACGGTTTCTGCAGCTAATACAGACTTCCCACATCCTGCCATTCCATACACGGTAACCCATCCTGGTTCGCCATTCAGTCTGGAGAGTTTCTGCTGAATTGCACTCACCAGCTTCTTCCTAGTAACAAAAACCACGGGCCTCTGTGGTACTCCTCCTTCACATAGGACTGTCCTTACTGAAATCCAAAAGAAAACAAGCATAAATGAAGAGAACTCTGACATGGTTACTCAAGTAATACCATCAAAACCAAAGAGAATAAGGCTGAGGCCTGAGCCTCAGAATTTCCAAGAGATGTAAGAAATGTGGCTAGCACATTAACTTCAACTCTGATTTCTCAGAATACCCAGAACAAAAGCAAACATGTCCCTTTCTGGATGACTATAGACAATGGAAATTTCCATCTATAGCTTACCCTATTCCTCTGACTCTCCAATCTCTTTTTCTCATATTAAAGACTACGAAGGAGAGAGTAAAAGGGAAGAATATGGAATTCAAGAATATAGATTTTTAAGGTTCTTATTCTTCCCTACATATGAACTCGAGAAACACAGAACTGGAGAACTTAAATAAAGGCCTACAAAGTGTCTTTAAAATTAGGGTATGTATAGTACCATCAAAGCAGTAGATAGCTCCCTGGGCAGGAAGAAAATGTGAGAGTTAATAAAGATGCAAATAAAAATATGTAAATTGGAAAACCTAACTATAATTTTTTCACATGCATTTTTCAGGGATCTGATCGGTCTCTTTAGCAGACTCCATCTATAGTGAGACAAAACTGCAGCAATGTAGCCATTGTGATAGCAATGTGATAGAAGGTATTAAGGATACAAACCATATGAGGTTATTCTACCAAATGAATCTTTGCCATTGGAAAAAGAGACCACAGGAATGCCATCATGGAGAAGGGCAGCAAGATCTTTATACCCTTCATGTAGTAGAGCATTGTAGAATGATATGTAGGAATAATTATCTTTCTTAAGTATCATTTTAATTAGCATAGCTGCTCGTTGCTGTTGAGTGGGCTAAAAAAAAAAAAAAGTAGTTTAGTATACTACAAACAATATGTTTGCAACAATTTAGTCAAGACCAGTAAGTTCTGAAATAAATTCTAAAAATTTTTAAGAAAGCATAGACTGCCTCAGAGGGCTTTACCTCATTTTTTACTTTTTCCTCCTCTGATACTGTTAGAAATCCATCACTAATCATATGATCCATTATGTAGGATGTTTTGATGTCCTTTTCCAGGGCTTTTCTATGTTGAAGCAAACAATTTCGAGCTTTTGCATCCATCCTCTCTCAATTTTTTCTCTCTGAGCTGTCAACCTGAGCTACAGGCAAAACATCAAAATATCTGTCAGGCCAATAAAAACATGAAAGATATGTAACCTTGCTGGTAATCAAGAAATGTAAAGATTATAAGATTTATTTTGTAAAGATTTTTTTAAATGGGCAAAACCCAATGCTTTAAAAGGTGTGAGAAAAATGGGTATTTTTATGCATTACTTGAGGTATGTTCAAAATGAATGCAACTTTTCTGGAAGGCAATATAAGATATAGAAGTGTTTAAAATACACATTCTCTTTAACCCAGAAATGCCACTTCTAGGAATTTACCTCAAGGAAACATTCACATGTGTATGCAAAAATAACCACAAAAAAGAGTTAACAAGAGAGCTTAGGCGAGAAAAAAGATAAAAACAACCAAAATGCTCACCATTCTCAGTATGGACTTTAAAAATTTGACACACACACACATATATATACACATATATATACATATATATACATATATACACATATATATACATCTATACATATATATGTGATGGAATATTATACACCCATTTAAAATAAAACACATCTCCATGTACTAACATGGAAAGATGCTAATGACCCACTGTTGATTGAAAATATTAGAAATATGATTCCATATACAGCATAAAATATGTTTGCATCATATAAGTACATAGGGAGATGTTCATAAGTCTGTTCAACAGAATGTTTGGGTTTCTTCTAAGCAGCAAAACTTGGGGTTTTTCTCCCCTTTCGTTTTTTGTACTGTTCTGTAGTCTTAATTTTTTTCAATGCACATTATCACTTTTATAACAAAAATTTTTTTTAAATATTTTATAAACAATGATCATACTGAAGTTCTAGTGTTTAGAAATTTGTTTTATTTATCCATTATAAGGCTAAACAGAACATTGTTGGCACTGAATATTAGTTGTCGCTCAAAGTGATGTCAGCTCTAGGTCTTCAATGGTAAACACATTTCTCACATGCTCACTCCACTGTTTCAGCTGAGCTGCTAAGTATGACAAAGCAACAGGAAATACCCTCTGATGTCATTTCTTGGAGTAAGAGAACACACAAAAAAAGAATAATATTCTTTACAGAATAATACTGTAAGGTTCTACTGACTTTATTTCAAATATAATGCAAAATTTTCCATGGGTATAAAACCCAGATCAGAATGTTTGCAAGTTCTTAAAACATTAACAGGGGCCGGCCAAGTGGTGCGATGGTTAAGAACTGGCTTGGGACGCCAGAGGGCCCCAGTTCGGATCCCACATATGAGGGCCAGTGACACTGCCCTCCACAGCTAAGATGCTGAACAACAGCTCAACCTGGAGCTGGGCTGCTGTGGGTCTCTGGCGATGGCGTAGACTGCAGCCCCTGCTGCAGTGGGCTGCCATGGGCTACCGTGTGTAGTCAACAGCCAGCGTGAGCGGCCAGCAGCCGCAGTGAGCAGCCGTCCAGAAGCCAGTGACTGATCTGCCCCGAGCGCAATGATGGTGCCAACTTGGGCCAGAGAAGCAATGTTCTCCACAACTTGACTGAAGAACAAAACAACAGCAACTTGTCTGTTCCCCTTCCCCCAATAAAAATCTTTAAAAAAAAACAACCAGAACTCTCTCTATCCAATGTATTACAGTGAGTGTCTAGATGTGTTTATTAATTTACTCATTCAATAAACATTTGAGCCTTTCCTATTTGCCAAGTCCTGAGTCTACAAAGAAGATTAAATCATATCCCTGAAGGAATTCACAATTTAGTGGGACAGAAAAATAGCATAAGAATGTGATGTCTAAGTGCAAAAACAAATATAAGCACAAATAATTTAGATTGCACAGAAGAGAAGCAATAATCATTAAGCTTCAAAAATGACTACACATTTTTTAAGTGCCACTTTATAAATGTGGCACTTGCAAATATAGGGAAGTAGAGCATTTGCCTTGTCAAGCTTCATAAAATGCCCAGTACTGGCATGAAACTGAGATAAGAAAAAGTTATGATTAGAATCAAGGCCATTGTATTTTTTTAAATGTTAATAACGTTTTTTATGATCTCGATTTAAATAAAACATTCCTTAATTTTAATAACAAAACTCCATTTGACAAAACAAAAATGCATTTTCTAGGTTATGTCCAATAGCCTAGCAAAAAGACACTGACAACTTGAAACTGATTTCCAACTTTACCTAGTCCTTTTAAAATTACATAAATTTTAAACCGCACAAATTAAAATATTCTGAACAAATTCTCAGTGTCCCACTTTTGTAACCACACAAAAATGTGAAGTCAAAACTCTTCATGATGTGAAATAGAAAGAAGGGCAATTTCATCCAGGAAAACCATTCATAGTTAACTACTTCCTCTTTAGTTTCTCTTCCTGGGATAGGAGGTACAATTAATTATTCCTTGTCCCAGAATTCTGCGTCCCTGAAATTGGTACTGAACCTCCATAGAATCCGGCTCCGGGAGAAAAGCGAGGCGCAAACTTACCCAAACCTTCGCACAAAGATCTCACCGGGAAGAGCAGCCCCGTGGGGGCAGAACTGGAAATCAAATGGGGTTGGGGGTGGCATCGGAGGCTTCGGAAAAATTATGCAGAACACAAGCGCGCAGCCCCGGTACAAGTCCGGGTCGCCCAGGTGCCTTACCTGGGCTTCCGCAGCCTGCGGCTCCTGAAGACCTCCGGGGACCTCCGTTACCAGCGGAGAGGTAGGCGTCACCTCGGCGGGCGGACAACACAGCCCCGGGGTCGTCGAAGTGAGGCCTGGCCTGGGGGCCGCCCTGCCAGTGGACGCCACCCCAGACACAAAGGGAGGAGGGTCACTCGGGCGGTTGCTCCTTCCCTCAGGCAGCCGCTGAACCCCGGCGCCCAGGCGCCACTGAGGGCCCTGATTTCCCCACTTCCCGGGCCCTCACCCCTTCCGCCCAAGAATAATGCATCCGCGTCCACTTGCTATTTCCTCCTCTTTGCCTGAGGACCGCGGAGCAGTCAAAATACACCGAGCCCGCCCAAACTGGACATCGCGCCCGCGTATGCAAATAAACACACTCAGCCCTGCTCGGGGTGGCTGCCGCCGCCGGGCGCACTCCCGCCCGACTTGTGCCCGCGCGCGCAAAAGAAAGCGCCCTTCGCCCCACCCCCCAGAGGGCGTGGCTAAGCCACAGGGACGCGCCGCGTTCCAGGGAGAGGACCAAGGCGGCGGCGCGCCCGACGTGGCGCGAGCTGCCCAGCCCCGCCCCGCCCCCTGGAGTTCCCGTGGCCCGCAAGTGCCCGCGCGCTCCGGTCTCCTCTAAGGTCTGCAGTATTAACGCAGAGGAAGCGGGAGGTAGGGTGCCCGCCTGTCTCAGCTGGAAGAACTGGAAGACGGGAGGACGCCGTGAAGCAGCGAGGATGGCCGGGAGGAGGAGGGGGCGGCGCTAAGTCTGGGCAGGGGCGCGGTCACTACCGAGGCTTCCCGCTGAGGCTAGGGCGGCCACGTCCAGCTCTCCCAGGGTGTAGAAGCCGCCCGGTGTTTGTCGTGCTCAGGACCTCCAGACATGTCCGAGGTGAAGAGCCGGAAGAAGTCGGGGCCCAAGGGCGTCCCCGCGGATCCCGGGAAGCGGATCCCGGGAAGCGAAGCGAAGGCGGGAAGAGCCCCGAGGCCCGGGACGGTAGAGGCGCAGGCTGGGTGGACCCCCGGACCGGCGTGAGCCTGCTGTCGCTGGGGACGTGCCTGGGCCTGGCCTGGTAAGTGGATGCGAGGTCTCCTGGGCCCAGTGTCCGGCCTCCGGTGGTCGCCCCGCTCTTCTCGGAGTCCCTCCCGGCCCCACCCAGCTCTGCATCCTCAAACTTGCGGCCTCTGTTCTTCTGACGACCCCCAAGAAAGAAAAGCTGAAATTTTTTTCTTTCGATCGTTTCTTGTAACTCATTTTGGGGATGAGTCGGCCATTTCTTAAGAGATGCAGATTTGTCCAAACTATTAAGCGCCTACTACATACACGTCGGAAGCTTTCCCGTTTTATAACCCCTTACTTCCAGTCCGCCGTGCATTTGTCAGAGACAAATTTGCCCAACCCCATAAATGCCTAATGGCAACGTTTGCAACCTTAAAAGAATTCATTACTTATAATCTCAAAGCAGCAAACATTAATGATTACATCAAAATTTGGATTTCTCCTAGTTTGATCAGCGTGCATGCGTTATTAATTTACAGTCGCTTCCTAAGCTACGGATTGAATTTTAGTACTGGAAAGCTACAAAAGCATAGCACTTGTGTTCACCTAAAACTAAATAAAATTATTTTTTAAAGATTTTATTGGGGAAGGGGAGCAGCCAAGTTGTCCTTCAGTCTTAGTTGTGGAGAACGCAGCTAGCTCAGCTCCAAGTCCAGTCCTCGGTTGGCCCCCGGTAGGCAGCTCGCAGCCCTGCTCAACTCAAGGTACCATGTTCAATTTTAGTTGCAGGCGGGTGTAGCCCACCATCCCGCAGCGTTGTTGTTAGGAGCACATGCTCTCACCAGCTGAGCCATCCTGCCACCTATTGCAGCTCAGCTTGGTCGCAGCTCACCGGCCCATGTGGGAATCAAAGCCGGACCCTGTTGCTCAGAGTTCGGGCTCTTAACCAACTGAGCCACTAAGCCGGTCCCTAAATATAATTTTTAAACCAAATGAATAGTGATATATTGGTGACATGTCAGGAAAAATTAGTATTAGAAATAACCGAGGGCCAGCCGAGTGGCGCAATGGTTAAGAGCTGGCTTGGAACGCCAGAGGGCCCCGGTTCAGATCCCACGTGTGAGGGCCAGTAACACTGCCCTCTACAGCTAAGATGCTGAAAAACAGCTCAACCTGGAGCTGGGCTGCTGTGAGTCGCCGGTTAGCGTAGGCTGCAGCCCCTGTGGCAGTGGGTTGCCACAGGCTACCGTATGTGGCCAGCAGCCAGCATGAGCGGCCGTCCAGAAGCCGGCGACTGATGTGCCTCGCCTGGGAGGAGCACAATGATGGTGCCAACTTGGGCCAGTGGAGCAACGTCCTCCTCAGCTAGACTGAAGAACAAAACAACAGCAACTTGTCTGTTCCCCTTCCCCCAATTCCCCAGCACTGTTCCCATCCCCCAATTCCCCAATAAAAATCTTTAAAAAAAAAAAAAAGTGATCCATCCTTTAAAAAAAAAAGAAAGAACCTAAAAACCAACTTATTAAGTTTATTTTCCCCAGTTATTTTCTTTAGGAATAACCTATTTTAATAACAAGACTAATGCTTTAAATTAGACTTTCCCTCCACTTTTTTACTGATTTTTAAAGTATTTAGAAGATAATTACCCATAATCGAATTCTAGAGACTGGACGTTCTCCAGTCTAGAACAGTTTGTGATACTAGTAAATTTTGAATTATATTTTAGTGGTGACTCATCCTGAGTTGAAGTTAATAAAAGATTTGTTACAATAATGTAAAATGTTGATTATTAAATGTTCTCTTCAAAAAAATTTGTTAATTTACTAATATGTTATTTTTGCTTATGAAATATTTTTATTTTGATCTTAATAAATCTACCGAATTTACTGTTTTAAATAAACTGCGCTTATATCTTAAAATGCATGACCTTCTTTAGGTTAAGTTAAAAGACGTTTTTGTATTGGGAAAGTTATTCAGTAATAGAACTTACTTAGTATGCTCAAAGATATATGTTGCTTCTCCTTGGAACCAAATACAGCTGGTTTTAGTTACTGGATTTATTAATTCTCAATAATTATCTAAAGATTCATATTCATGTGAGATGAATTACATCACAAAATGTTCAGCTTTTCAATAATTTAGTTACTATCCTGGGGAAAAACGCTAATAGGAATCTAACAACATAAGAAACGTCCAAACCTATAGACAATTTTTATTAAGAGTTTATTTGAGCCAAAGCTGGTGACACTTGCCAGGAAGCAAGATCGCAGATGCTCTAGAGCAGCAGTTCTCAACCTGTGGGTCGCGACCCCTTTGGGGGTCGAACAACCCTTTCACAGGGGTCGCCTAAGACCATCGGAAAACAAAAAGATATTTACATTACGATTCATAACAGTAGCAAAATTATAGTTATAGAGTAGCAACGAAAATAATTTTATGGTTGGGGGTCACCACAACATGAGGAACTGTATTAAGGGGTCACAGCATTAGGAAGGTTGAGAACCGCTGCTCTAGAGAATAACACTCGCAGTTTCTTTTATGTATTTGAAATTGAGAGAATGTAAGGAAGATTACATGAAGGTAGAAAGCAAGGTGGGCATTTGATTACAGGATGATTAACAAGATTATGTGCTTTCTTGAGAGTCCTTATAACTTATTTCAAAGGTGTGTTAACCTAGATACACAACAATGGACAAGGCTTGCTTAAGGTAAAGATAAACCTTTTACTAAAAAAGTTATGTACGTGGGGTGTGACTATCCATCCTGATCTGCCCAGTTAGAAATTTATGATCAGATCATCCTGTGAGGTTACTTTCCACAGAACTTTTTCATCCACAAATCTATGAAAAAACCTGTTGAAAGGCAGACGCTTTAGCTCAGGAATTTACTGTTAGTTCCTATAGTAAAGACACAAGTTACATTTGGTAGGAAGATTTTATTTAAGCTGTGTCTTTGCAAAATAATAAAGAACAATACTCAAAGGTTGTTTCTAAAAATGGGCAGATTTTATGATTGTTATTGAAATAGTTGACTGTTAATTGCTCTTGTAAAATCTTTTGCCACAAGAGTTGAAGTATAATATAAATACTTCAGTCACTGTTTATAGCAAATTTTTATTTATGTTAAATTTGGGAATAAAAAGTTATTCTGCTAAGACATTTGCAAGCATTTTCTAAATAAAAAACATTTGGCATCTCAAAATACTTAAAAGCACACTAGAATTATAACAAAGCCATTGAGATATTCACCTCTTGAACACATACTTAAGCATTTAAAGGTCATTTGCCAAATCTTTATTGAATGCTTACTGTACTGACACTGACCTGGTTGTTAAAATACAACATCGAAAATATGTGCCTATCTGTGTACTTCTAGACACAGTTTATCCATCCTCTCACACTTAGATTAAGTTTGAGGGGTGGGGAGATTGAACCCTTCCACTGCTCAAAGGAAGACTTCAAGGCATCACTATTTCAGTATCTTCAGGCAGTTAGTCTTTAGATCCTTGTTTAGAAAGTAAACAGAAATAATGCATGACAGATCAAGTCCTGACATGCCAGCCTGCGAAAATGATAGTGAGAAGAAGCCCCGAAACAGGGAATGCTTCTCTTCCTGTTAGTGGTCTCATCCATCCATTTCATCCTTCATTTGCTATAAACCCAACATTGGTTGCAAAGGGGGACAGGGCTGGGGCATCTATCCAGAGCAGTAGAAGGGACCCCTGATCATTTGTACCATTATAGGCTTATCAGAGGGATGGAAAGCAGTTGCACAGAGCACTTCAAAAGAAAATAGCTGATGTGATATGCTCTTGCACTATCTATGAGCTTTATAAATAAGAACCTATTTGATCTCTACAACAACCCTATGAACTAAGTGGTGATAGTATCCCCCCTTTACAGATGAGGAAACTATGGCAAAGATAAATAAAACTTGCCTACGGTGTTTATACAGCTAGTAAATGGCAGAGCCAAAGTTGCCTAGCGCCACACTCAACCAGAATGATATGCTGCCTCCCTTTGATATTAATCCAAAAAGAGGCCAAGTTCCTAGAAATAGAAATCCTTACTTCAGAACTATTTATAGCCCTTTTATTTCTTCAACTAAAAGTTGTCGTCCTTAGCAAACCCTAATTGTTTGTCTCATCTAAACTAGGGAAGATAAGGAGTAAGGAGGCTTTGAACTGCTTCTGTTAGAATATGCCCCTGACTCAAAAAAAGGAAGTGAAGCACGTTAGCCACTAATCTGGATGTCAGTTTTAAAAATAGGTTTTTCGGAATTGATGCTGCCTTCTGTCCGCATACATTTTTGGTTTCTAGAAAAATCATTTTCCTTTATGTTAAAGAGTTAATATAAAACACTTAGAATAATATCTGGCACATCTAAGTGAAAAATATGATAAAATGTATTTAACTCGGCACCATACAAACCATGTTTCATTTTTTCATTACTAGCACTAAGTCAACTTTATGCTTGTTTTTTCTTATATGCACTACTCATATGTAGCAATGGTGAATTTTGTGTGTGTGTGTGTGTGTGCGTGTGTGTGTGTGTGTGAAAAAAAAACCCACAAATTATCATCAGAGATGATATTTCCCCTAACATGACACAGTTTTCTTCAAGCTTTTGCTGAGTATTGAATTTTGAAGAGAAGTGCAGAGGTAGACAATATTAAAATATTTAATAAAATAGAAAGTCCTATAATGTATTATTGTAGTGGACCAACCTTCACAAAACATCTTATTTATAATAATGACTTTATTCTGAATAAACATAGTGATCTATAGGATGAATCCATGATGTAATACTGTGGAGTAATGGGTGATAAAACTAGTCACTGAAAGTAGATTTAATTTCTTTAGAATAATCTCTATCCTTGGTCTCTGCTGATATAAGCCTGTACTCTGAAAAGAATCTCTTAAAAGTCAAGAAGAAAACAGTCAATCAAAATAGAATTGAGTCTACACATCCGTCTTTGAAAATTAGGATAATGGCGTTTTCTAATAGCCAGAAGTTTTGTTTAAAAGTTCTTATTAGCATACATGAGAAAAATCAATCTGTACTAATTATGTAACCTGGACTTAATTAATTCAGTGTTATAGGATACACGAGCCATCATTAAAAGAAATTTATTTTATCCAACATTTTTAAACACTTCTTTAAAAAGCAAAAAATCCATTTTTGCTTTGAATAGTTTTATAGCAACTGTTAGCCTAATGACGACATTTATGAGTTTGAAATATCACCACCTTTGCAATGATGCACAAAGCTCAGAAGTCTTTCACCTCCTCCATTGAGTTTGGGCATCTTTAAATGTTTGTCTTTCAATCGCAGTCAATTTCACAAAACAGTGTCAATTATTGGTTCTCACTTTACTGAGCTCTCGGATAACCTGGGAAGCTTTTAAATTTTACAGTATCCATGTCACATCCCAAACCAGTTAAGCCAGAATTTCTGTGGATGGGACCCAGGCATTAGAGTTTTTTTTAAGCTGCTGGATAACTCCAATATGCAGTGAAGCTTTTGAACCACTGGCCTATGTACTCTGATTTAGATAGTGACTCATATGGTTCTGCTCCACTGCTTTTTGATGACTCTAATATACAAAGAATTTCAACTGCTGCTTTTTCTGAGCCCAAAGAATTGAGTGAAAGTAGATTAACCAAAATGGTATTAGAATCAAAGCATTTCTTTGCTTGCTCTTTTCAAATCCATTTATTGTTTTTAAGGTTGGGATAACTTTTTTATGCTTCTACCCTTTACTATTTACCAGATGAAAAATACACTCCAATTTTAGAAAGATATCTAAATGACTTGTGTTTTTTAGCATAACTATATGACTTGTGTTTTTTAGCATAACCAATTGTGCATGTTATACACCTTGCACTTTGACAGTGACTCCTGTTTTCAGTAGTTTCAACTGGGTTATTTTGCAACTTCTAATCATCACCTCTCTCTGCCTTCCACTCCACTGCTTTTTTTTTTCTCTGCTTCATTGTAATTTAAAAAATACTTTTTTAATATAGATAACCCTTGCTTCTACATTTCAATGTAAAAATGCTTACTTTCTAGATGCTGACAAATACGGCCTTGAGGAAAATAGTAGAGATCACGTATTTTTTGTAAATAATTCATATTTCTTCCTCCAGAATATTTCTTGTGCATACATCTATTCAGATATCACACCATCTCACTCACTGAGTTGTGAACTTGGACAGGGCAGTGTTTCACTCATCTTTACATGAGTATTCCAGTTAAACTGCTGCCTACCCCATAGCAGGCTTCTAAATGTTGGCTGAAATAAACTAATAAAAGCTGCCACTACCCATACCAGAATTTATGTTGACCTTACCAGAAGTGGGTATAAAATACTCCTTTAAGGGCCGGCCGAGTGGCGCGTTGGTTAAGAGATGGCTTGGGACGCCAGGGGTCCCGGTTCGGATCCCACATGTGAGGGCCAGTGACACTGCCCTCTACAGCTAACATGCTGAACAACAGCTCGACCTGGAGCTGGGCTGCCGTCGCTCACCGGCGACGGCGTGGGCTGCAGTCCCCTGCTGCAGTCTCTTGTTGCAGTGGGCTGCCATAAGCTACTGTGTGTAGCCGGCAGCCAGCGTGAGCGGCCAGCAGCCTTCGTGAGCGGCCGTCCAGAAGCCGGCGACTGATCTGCCTCACC